ATTTTTTCCCAGTCTGTAGGTAGTCTTTTGACTCTTTGGTGAAGTCTTCTGAAGAGCATAAGTGTTTGATTTTTAGGAGCTCCCAGTTATCTAGTTTCTCTACCAGTGTTTGTGCATTATTACTTATGGTTTGTATTCTGTTTATGCCGTGTATTAGGGCTCCTAGCATTGTCTCTATTTTTTCTTCCACGATCTTTATTGTTTTCGATTTTATATTTAAGTCTTTGATGCATTTTGAGTTAGTTTTTGTGCATGGTGTGAGGTATGGGTCTTGTTTCAGTTTTCTGTGGATGAATATCCAGTTATGCCAGTACCATTTGTTAAAGAGACTGTCTTTTCCCCAGTTAATAGTCTTTGGGCCTTTGTGAAATATCTGCTGCTCATAGGTAGATGAATTTATGTTTGGATTCTCAATTCTGCTCCATTGGTCTCTGTATCTGTTGTTGTACCCAGTACCAGGCTGTTTTGACTACCATGTCTGCTCTATTCTTGATAGATGACCAGTGTGTTTTGTTTTTCTGATGGTATCATTATGAATTCATATTTTATGTGTTTCCATTGATTGCATTTGTTATTCAGTTCCATTTTTGGCTCCTCAGAGTCTCTTCAGATTGACTTCTGAATCATTTTGACCCTAACCCAAAATGTTAAGATGTTCCAGGCACAAATTACATGTTTCTTTCCCAGACCTGGGATAAGCTGTTTCTTCAAGAAATCTTGATTCCTTTTTGTGGAAAATGCTACTTACAGACGACAAATCTAAGCACTAGGAGTGTTCATTGTTATTGGTTGCTTATTGCTTTTAGGCTTTTTAAGTGGACAGAGCTAGATTTTTTTTTTTTTTTTTTTTAAAGAGAAAGTACAGTATGAGTTCACTGATATTTCCAATTTAAATTTAGAAATACAAGGGTTTTACTTGGCTTCTTTGATTTTTGTATTTGTATCTCTTTATTGTTACTCTGAAAAAAAAAATGGTGATTTTTAACAGCATGATTACTGTTTTTGTTTTATTCCAGGGTGTCTCAGCCTCAGCACTATTGTCATTTTGGGCCGAGCAATTCTTTCTTCTGGAAGTTCTTTTGGGCATTGTAGAATGTTCAGCAGTATCCCTGACCTCTTCCAGTGGATGCAAATAGTGTGCCCTTCCCTATCCCCACTTCAGTTGTGACAACCAAAAACATCTCCAGACATTGCCAGATGTTCCCTGAGGGGTACATTTGTTCCATGATTGAGACCCACTGCTTTATTCATATACCATAGTTTCATAAAAACAATATCAAGGTAACATTATTATCTGAATTTTTTCCCTGTAGGGTATGTCTCTCTAGGATATACAGTCAAATTACTGTTTTAGTTACTTAAAATGATTCTTCTCTGTATGGTTCTGCCACCAACTTGATGGTCAGTTCAGTTCATTTGTTTCATTTTTACTTTCAATTTTTAGGGATTTCAAAAGAAAAAAAACTTTGTTTTGTAACAATGTAAAATATTTGCATGGTTCTAAAGTTAATCTACAAAAACCAAACCAAACCCATTGTCATCAAGTCGATTCCGACTCATAGCAACTCTGTAGAACAGAGTAGAACTGCCTCATGGGGTTTCCAAGCAGCAGCTGGTGGATTTGATCTGCCAACCTTTTGGGTAGCAGCCCAGAAGCTCTTAACCACTTCGCTACCAGGGCTTCATATACATATGTATATTCATATACAAATATATATATATATATATGTATGTATTCAGAGAAATTTATCTTCTATCCTTGATCTCTCCCCTCTTTTCCCTCTCTCCTAGCCTATAAAAAACCTTCTTTTTTTTTTTAAATTTTGGTCCTTCATTTCTTTTCTAATATAAGCTAGTGTATATATTCATGTCGACCCCTTCTTAGATAAATAGTAGCATATCCTACACATTTTTCTTCATCTTGCTTTTTTTCACTTAATTGTTGTTGTGTGCTGTCGAGTCGGTTTTGACCTAGTGTATTGTTATCCACAACAGTATAAAATTTTTTTTACTGCTGCATCCATTGTGTGAATTTACCGTAGTTTATTTAACAAGTCCCTTTTTGGTAGACATCTGAATTTTTTGCTGGTTTTTATTACAATGAATGTTGTATGTAGTGCTACAGTGAATAAAGTTGTTCATTCACCTTTTCATATTTTTGCTGAAGTATCATTGGGATAGATTTCTAGGTAAATGCATATGTAATTTTGCTAAGTATTGTCGAATTCCCCTCCCTAGTAGTTGCACCATTTTATGTTTCCATCAAAAATGTATGAGAATATTTCCCCAAAGCTTCAGCAGTAAAGTACTTTGCAAGACTTTGACTTTTTGCCAGTTTGATAGGTGAGAAATGGTATCTTAATGTAAAGTTCAGTTGCATTTCTCTCATTATGGGTAAGAATGGACATTTTTTCATATTTTAGAGCCTTTTTTTTCCTGAGAAGTCTGTTCATATCTGTTAACTACTGTTAATTGTTGGCCTTGTTCTTCTCAGTCTAATGTTCTTTATATATTAGCCTTTTATTTGTAGTGTCAGTTGTGAATACTTTTCTTAGTTTTTTTTTTTTACTTTGTGTAAGGTATTCTTAAATTTTTTATTCTTATACAGTTAAATATGTAGTCTTTCCCCTTGTTGCAGAGTTAGGAAGATTTTCCTTTCTTCCCGATGTAGAGAAATTTAGCCATGTTTTCTTTTAATAGTTGAGTTTAATTTTTAAAGTTTAAATCTTGGATATGTTTGAAATTTATCTTAGTTACAATGATTCCACATGACTGTAGAGTTTATTAAAAAGTTCATCATTTCCCAATAGCTTTTTTTCCCTAACAGTATGGACTCATAGATTTTTATTTTGTTCAATGATTTATAATCCACTAGTATCATTATTTTTCTTGATGTTCATTTGTCCTACTTTTGGCCAACGGGATCCTTTTCCAGACTGGCTTTGGTGTCTTTTGATACATCCTCATCATTTGAACACATTCTTTCTGGAGCAACACGCTGTTTCAGGATCGTCTTGTTCTTTCTCTCCTAGCCCTGGAATCAGCCTTTTCTCTAAGGAGCAATGGTTCCTTTTATAGGAGAGTGGTATTTAGAAACCAAGATCTGACTTTTTGGTGTGCTTATTGCTACTAGTGTGTCATGGCTTACATGTCCTCTCAATGGACAATTTGGATTATTTTTGTTGTTGTTAGGTGCCATGGACTTGATTTTCCACTCATAGCAACCCTACGTGACAGAGTAGAACTATACCCATAGAATTTTCTAGGCTGTAATCTTTACGAGAGCAGATCTGTAGGTCTTTCTTCTTCAGAGCTGCTGGTGGTTTTGAACTGCCCACCTTTCGTTTAGCAGCCAAGCACTTAACCGCTGCACCATTTCTAACGGTGATTTATTTGCTCATTTGATACCATACTTTTGTTATAACTGTAAAACAGTATTGCAGAAAGTTTAGGGAAAAAAGGAGATCATCCATAATTCTGTTTTTCCAATGATTATTTTCATTTTTGCTTCTGTCTTCCATATAGATTCAGTTGCATTTTGATTCAGTTGCATTCCTAGTGTAAGAATGGTTTTTGTTTCCTGTATTTTTCACTTATGTATATCTTTTTTACTTGGCTACATAGTAGCCTCATAATTATTTTTGAGGGGTACATATTACTCCATGAAGCAGCTGTATAATGACTTAATTGGATAGTTAGTTTACTTTCAGTTTTTCCTAATCAATGATAGTTGTAGTGGACATTTTTGTGTACATAGGCTACTTTGTTGTTCTTTTAAATTCCCAGGAATATGGAAAATCAGGGTCAAAAGTGTATTTTTCGACATGTGGATACATCTTGTCAGTTTGCTTTCCAAAGAATTACAACTGTGGGGTTTATACTGATTGGGTATTTTGTTACTTATTGGAGATTGAGTGAAATATTTCATTCAGTTTTATATGCTGTTAAACCAAAGGATGCATGAAATTTTTTTTCATTATAATTTTTAGGAAATCTTTCTTTTGTCCGAAAATTATCAGACTCCAACTATTATCTTTTACTATTGCCTTAGTTTGTAGATTAAAATAACAGCTTTGAGTTTGGTCACTTGTTCCTAAGACCTTTTTAGTTCTACCTAAAAAAAAAAAAAAAAAAAAAAAAACCTGTCACCATTGACTTGAATCTGACTCATGATGACCCTACAGGACAGAGTAGAGCTGTCCCATAGGGTTTCCAAGGCTGTAATCTTTATGGAAACAGACTACCACATCTTTCTCCCACAGAGTGGGCGGATGGGTTTAAACTGCCAATCTTTTGGTTAGTAGCTGAGTGTTTAACCACTGTGCCACCAGGGCTCCTTTAGTTCTACTTGTTGCTGCTGTTAGGTGCCATTGAGCGGTTCCGACTCATAACGACCCTATGAACAACAGAATGAAACACTACCCAGTCTTGTGCCATCCTCACATTGTCGTTATGCTTGAGCCCACTGTTGCAGCAACTGTATCAGTCCATCTTGTTGAGGGTCATCCTCTTTTTTGCTGACCCTCTACTTTACCGAGCATGATGTCCTTCTCCAGGGACTGATCCCTCCTGATAACATATCCAAAGTATGTGAGACGTAGTCTCGGCATGCTTGCTTCTAAGGAGCATTCTGGTAGTACTTCTTCCAAGACAGATTTGTTTGTTCTTTTGGCAGTCCATGTATATTCAATATTCTTCACCAACACCACAATTCAAAGGCGTCAGTTATCCTTCCGTCTTCCTTATTCGTCATCCAGCTTTTGCATGCATATGAGGTGACTGAAAATACTATGGCTTGGGTTAGGTGCACGTTAGTTTTCAAGGTGACATCTTTGCTTTTCAACACTTTAAAGAGGTCTTTTCCAGCAGATTTGCCCAACACAATGCATCTTTTGGTTTCTGGTACTAACTTATATTTAAAGAATATTAATATATACATACAAATGAATTTATTTTAACGACTGTATCGATAACATTCACTTTTCTTTTTAATTTTACAGTAAGGCAAAAGAGAATGAAAGAAGCAGATAATCTTGACAGTATAAAAGAAGAATGGTGAGTTAGCTCAAGTATCTGAATTTCTTTGTTACTAATACCTTTGTTACTATCTTTCTCTATTTTTATTGCATTTCACTGACTAAGTTTTTATTGTGTATGATTATTTTAGTAAATACCTAATCATAATATATTTTAACTTTTTTTTTTACCATAGTTGCATTGACCTGATTTTAATGAGGTTATGAAGTCTTTTTTTGTTATTAATAAAAAATAGTCTTAAATTTCTCTATAACTTCTGTTATTTAAGCAAGAAATTTAAGCAACTGTTTATCTTCTTAGACTGTTGTGTGTACTATCTTGGAGGCATAGAGGTATTTTAATGGCCTCAGAGGTTTGAATCCCATCTCTCCCTTGTATTACCTCTCTGACATTTGGGCTACTTGGGTAAACTTTTTGAGCCCCAATATCTCATCTATAAAATGGGGATATAGCTATCTACCTGAAAAGTTTCTATGAGAATTATATAATGGATATAAAGCACTTAGTATAGTATTAGCACATAGTGGACACTCAGTGATAGGTGCAGTCTATAGTTCTTAACAGTATAGGATATTTTATTGCCATTTATCTGAGGAGAAGTATTTATTTTTATGTTTTGCTCTGCTTTAAATGCTTGATAAGGTAAAATTTTTTTCATTCACAGTTCATTGAAGGAGATAGACAAGTATATACTTCATACTTTCCCTTTATAATTTTAATAAGTATCGAGAATGGTAATAGTGGAAAAATGTGATTTGGAATCACAAGATGGCATTTGAATCTCCTGTGTGTCATTTGCCAACTGTATAATATTGATCAAATCACTAGCCTCCATTTTTGTATGTGTTAAATGAAGATAATTATAATACAAACCCCATGTGACTGTTGTGAGGAATAAATTTTAAAACGCTTTGTATATGCTTGTGTAGCATTCAAAGTTGTCTGTTATGTTTTCACTATGACATTTGTTGTTTTATATAGATTTAATAAAATATTTGATACTAATATAATTGTGTGTGGGATTGTGTTGGGAGTACCCAAGATTACCCACAGGTTTGCTAATTCCCTAGGAGGACTCACAGGACTCAGCGTATAGTTGTAATCATGGCTATGATGTATTACAGTGAGAGTATACAAAGCAAAATCAATAAAGGGAAAAGGCGCATAGGACAAATCCAGGGGAAACCAATACAAGCTTCCAAGAGTCCTCTCTCAGTTGAGTCACACAGGATGTACTTAATTTCCCCAGCAATGAGTTTTGACAACACATGTGAAATGTTAGCTACCAGAAAGCTTGTTAGAGACTTAGTACCCAGGGTTTTTACTGGGAGCTAGTCACATACTAAAATTCCAAACTCTCAGAAGGAGAGCAGGTGTTCAGTATAAACCATAAGATTTATACGAACAGTTTAGGCACAGTGAGCTTCTCAGAGTGGTAGGAACCCTCCTGAAACTCAAGTTCCTAGATGCTAGCCAAGGGCCAGCCTTGTAAGCAGCCCTTTTCAAAGGATAGCAGTTAGATCTGCTATGTAAACTCTTTTCTCCACAGAGATAAATTGAGTGGCCGATTTAAAAGAGTAAAATTATCTTAGGCCAGATATTGATTTTTTTACAACTACTATTGATATGGTTCCTATACCATACAGTTCATCCATTTAAGGTTCATTAGTTTTTAGTACATTCACAGAATTGTGCAACCATCACCATAATCAATTTTAGAGCATTCTTGTCACTCCAAAGAGAAACCCTGTACCCATTAGCAGTCCCTCTCCATGACTGCTAATCTACTTTCTATCTCTATGGATTTTTCTATTCTAGACAGATCATACAGATGGAATCATACAATACGTGATCTTTTGTGGCTGGCTACTTTGATTTGGCATTATGTTTTTGGGGTTCTTCCATGTTGTAGCATGTGTCAGTACTTTTTTTGTTTTTATTTTTTTGTTTAAAAATCTCTTTTTTTTTAATTGTATTTTTGGTGAAAGTTTACACAGCAAATGAAGTTCCCTTTTAATAATTCCTATACATATTTTTCACTGACATAGGTTACATTTCTCACAGTGTGTCAGCGTTCTAATTATTTCCATTCTGGTTGTTCTATTTCCATTAATCTAGCCTCTCTGCCCCTCACCTCCCTCCCTCCCCTCGGCCTTCTCTTCTTTGCTTTATGGCAAATATTGACTATTTGGTCTCATATAGGTGATTATTTAAAGGAGCACAATACTCATGGGTGATATTGTTTATTTTATGAGCCCATCTTTTATTTGGCTGAAAGGTGATCTCTGGGAGTGGGTTCAGTTCCAGGTTTAAAGGGTATCTCAGGGTGATAGTCTCTGGGGATCCTCTAGTCTCTACTGGTCCAGTAAGTCTGGCCTTTTTTTTAGGAATTTGAGGTTTGTTCTACGTTTTTCTCACATTCTATCCAGGAACATCTATTGCATCCCTCGTCAGAACAGTTTTTGGTGGTAGCTGGGCACCATCTAGTGTTTCTGATCTCAGAAAGTAACAATCTCTTGCAGCCCCCTTCTACCATTAACATTTAGTAAGATAATCCTTCTCAGCCAGGGCTTTCAAACATTTCTGGCTATATGCTATAGTAAGAAATACACTTTCATTGCAACTTATTACACACATGCAAGCATATGTAGTATGTCAGTACTTTGAATTTTAGTAAGGTATCTACTGTATTTTTATGCAAGTAACACACACCTTCTAATGTAGAAGGTGTGCATTATTTATGCAAAAATATGGTAAACAAAGGTATTGCTATTCAAGTTCGTTAATTGTAACAAAAATCGATTTTGTTAGAAACGGGTCCAGTAAAAAAATGAAGAAAGGACTGATTTCCTAATTGTATCAGTTATTCATACACTATAAATGTTGAAGTTCCATGTTTACCATATGTGCTACCAAAGCATGCACCAATACAAATACTTCACCTATTTGGACCTTGTTTATGCATAGCACAGCAGAGAATAAGAAAGTGAGCAAAAGAGGCAGTTCCACAGCCAAGATAGATGTTTCACAGTATCCTACCTGAACATTAATACTATCCACTTGGTTATAACAACTTTGGTAATCTATTTGCAGACTGTGAACAGGAATATCAATATTTGCATCATAAAATGATAATAACAACCTGATCCTATATATAGAAAACTCCAATTCCACAAGAAAGCTATTAGAGCTAATAAACAGAATTCAGCAAAATGGCAGGGTACACACAAAAATCAGTCTGGTTTCTATATATCAGCAATGAGCAAGCTGGAAAGGAAATTAAGGAAACAATACCATTTCCAATATAAAGTACTTAGGAATAAATTTAAACAGGAAAGTGAAAGACTTGTACACAGAAAACTAGTAAAATGTTACTAAAAGAAATTAAAGAAGACCTAAATAGGGAGGAACAACTCAGAAAAGGATGGTGAGAATGGTTACACAGCTCAAAGAACGTAATCAGTATCACTATTGTAAGTATAGAAACTGTTGAATTGGTGTATGTTTTGCTATTTGTATTGACAACAGCAACAAAATAAAATTATGTAGAAAAAAGACGTAAATAAATTAAGGACAGTCCATGTCATGGTTTGGAAGGCTTAATATAGTTAAGATGTCAATACTCCCCAAGGCAATATATAAATTTAGCGCAATCCCCATCAAAATGATAGACGTATAGACCAATAAAATAGAATTGAAAGTCCAGAAATCAACCGATACATCTATGGCCAGTGGATTTTTTGGCAAGAGTGCTAAGTCCATTCAGTGGGAAAAGACTCTTTAATAAATGGTGCTGGGAAAATGGGATCTCTACATGCAGAAGTATGAAGCAGGCTCCATGCCTCATACCATATACAAAAAACCAATTCAAAATGGATTAAGGACCTAAATGTGAGAGCTAAAACCATAAAAACCTTAAAAGAAAACATGGGGATATGGCTATGGGACTTAGTTTTTCAACCCTGGATTGATTATCAGATATGACACCAAAAGCACAAGCAGCAAAAGACAAAACAGATAAATGGGACATCATAAAAAAGAAGTACTTTTGTTCATCAAAGGCCTTTATCAACAAAGTGAAGAGATAACCTACAGATTGGGAGAAAATTTTTAGAAACCATCTATCTAGTAAGGGTCTAATATTTAAAAAAAAAAAAAAAACTTTTACAATTTAACCAAAAAAAAAACAACTCAGTCAAAAAATGGGCAAAGGCCTTAAACAGACATTTCACCAAAGAGGCCAACAAGCACATGAAAAGATGCTCAATGTCATTAGCCACATTAGGGAGAGTCAAATCAAAACCACAGTGAAGTACCTCCTCTCCCCCTTTAGAATGGCAGTTATCCAAAAAGAAAGGAAGGAAGGAAACTAAAAACAACAGATGTCGGTGAATATGTAGAGAATTTGGAACCCTTATCCATTGCTGGAGGGAATGCAAAATGGTACAGCAGCTGTAGAAAACAGTTTGGCAGTTCCTCGAAAAGTTGAACATAGATCTACCATATGACCCAACAATCCCAATCCTAGGAATATACCCACAAGACTTGGAAGCAGGAACACGAGTAGAAACCTGTACATCAGTGTTCATTGCAGCCCTTTTCACAGTAGCCAAAAGGTGGAAACAACCAAAATACCCATCAACAGATGAATGGATTAAAAAAGTGTGGTACATACATACAATGAAATATTACTCAGGCATAAAGAGAAATGAAGTCCTGATACATGCAACAACATAGATGAACCTTGAAAACATCAGGCTGTGTCATGGATTGAATTGTGTCCCCCCAAAATATGTGTCAACTTAATTAGGCCATGATTCTCAGTATCATATGGTTGTACTCCGTTTTGTGATTGTAATTTTATGTTTAAGAGGATTAGGGTGGGATTGTAACACTCTTACTAAGGTTACATCCCTGATCCAATGTAAAGGGCGTCTCCCTGGAGTGTGGCCTGCACTACGTTTTATCTTACAAGAGATGAAAGGGAAGCAAGCAGAGAGGGGGAACCTCATACCACCAAGAAAGCAGTGCCAGGAGCAGAGTGCATCCTTTGGACCCGGGGTCCCTACGCAGAGAAGCTCCTAGTCCAGGGGAAGATTGATGAGAAGGCTGACAGAGAGAGAAGGCCTTCCCCTGGAGCTGACGCCCTGAATTTGGACTTCTAGCCTACTAGACTGAGAAAATAAATTTGTCTTTGTTAAAGCCATCCACTTGTGGTATTTCTGTTATAGCTGCACTTGATGACTAAGACAGGCTCAGTGAAGTTAGTCAGTCACAAAAGGACAAGTACTGTATGATCTCACTTATATGAAATAGGCAAATAGAAAACAAATGATATTAGTGATTACCAAGTCTAAGGGAGAGGAAAAAGGAGAGTTAACTATTTAGGAGGCATAGAGTTTATGTTAATGGTGCTGAAATAATTTGGAAAAGGATGCTGATAATGGTGGCACAAAATGAAGAATATAATCAATGTCATTGAATTATACATATAAAAATTATTGAACTGGTAAATGTTTTGGTACCACAATGTAAATAAATAAATAATGATAATAACAAGTAAGGAAAAGATGATAGAGTAGGAAAAAAAGCACATGAAAACAAAGTTGTCGATACATTTAGTATTAAAACAGGTCCTCATACCTCAGTATGCCCTTTGGATTTTGCTATATGACAGATTAATATAATAAAAATATAAAGGGGATCCTTGAATTACCAAGAAAATGTTATGTTTGATGTACTTTCCCACTCTTTGTCTGTCTAGGAATGCCTTTCTACTCTTTTTTCTGTCCATTTAGAGACTCCTGTACTCTCATCAATACTGAAATCCATTACCACCTGTTCAATGAAGACAGAGACCTAATTAGATTACATTTTTCCTGAAATATATCTTATAAATGTCTATTTTATTGTAGTTACTTTATGTATTTTGGAGCCCTGTCATTGGACACGTATATATTTATTATGGTTATGTCCTCCTGGCGCATTGACCCTTTAATCATATGGTGTCTGTCCTTCCTTATCCTTTGTGGTGGATTTTGCTTTAAAGTCTGTTTTGTCGGAGATTAATATTGCCACTTCTGCATTTTATTATTGTAGTTATTTTCTGTTGAACTATTTGTTACTGTATATTTGCCATCTCATACTTCAGAATGAAATTTCCCACTGAAGGTTTTGTTTGTAGTGGGTTAATACTTAATTGGTTTTTACTTTGGGTTTATGTTTTCATCATAAGAAATACTACATAAGACTTCCTTTGATAGGAAGGATGGTTTCTGCCCGATCTTTTTGGAACAGTTATGTAGAAATTTTGGCTTTATTGGCTTTGTACTTAGTAATTAGAAATTAAGCACCAATTGCTTTCTGAACCAAAGGAGCAGTTAAATACCAGAGAGCATAAAGTGGTTATAAGGATATTATTATCTAATATTTGAGAGCTTACTGTGTACCAGGCACCACGTACTGTATAGGCCTTTGTATGTCTTTTCATTAAACATTCACAACAACCATGTGAGAATGGTGCAAGTATCTGCATTTTACAGATGAGGAACCAAATCACAGAGAGATTAAGTTTCTCGCCTTCCCCAAAGTCACACATCTACTGTCTTAGCTTAGAAGAGGGCCTGAACTTTAGGCATGGAGGTACCATCTCAGTTCAGGATCTCTTAACTAGAACAATTTATGTAAATTTTTAGAGAATTAGTAGTCAACAGTTTTTTTCTTTTTTTTAGGGTTTGTGAAACAGGATCTGACAACCCACCTGTTAGTGATAATAGACAAAGGAATTGTGAATATTTTGTTGATAGCCTTTTCGAGGAAGCTCAGAAGATTGGTGCCAAACGCTTGTCACCCACTGAAAAGAAGAAACAGGTAAATGTTCGCTACTTTTTTTTTTTTTAATTGTGCTTTAAGTGAAAGTTTACGACTCAAGTTAGTCTCTCATACAAAAATTTATATATACATTGTTATGTGATCCTAGTTGCTCTCCCTATACTGTGACAGCACATTCCTTCCTCCTTTCCTCCCTGGATTTCCCATGTCCATTCAACCAGCTCCTGACCCTCTCTGCCTTCTCATTTTGCCTCCAAACAGGAGCTGTCCATTTAGTCTCATGTATCTACTTGAGCTAAGAAGCACACTCTTCACGAGTATCATTTTATATCCCATAGTCCAGTCTAATCTTTGTCTAAAGAGTTGGCCTCGCGAATGGTTTTAGTTTTGGGCTAACAGAGAGTCCAGGGACCATGTATTCTGGGGTCCCTCTAGTCTCAAACCCATTAAGTCTGATCTTTTTACTAGAATTTGAGTTCTGTACCCTACTTTTCTCCTTCTTTGTCAGGGACTCTCTGTTGTGTTCCTTGTAAGGGTCACTACTTCTTTCTCTTCCAGTTTTTCTCAAAGTATGGACCTCTTAGAGGGTCCATGAGGTCAAAATTATTTTCATAATAATAGTAAGATATTATTAGCCTTTTCACTATGTTTACCTTGCTCTGTTGTTGCAAAAGCAATGGTGGGTAAAACTGCTGATGCCTTAGCAGGAATCAGTGTCAAAACCAAAAAAAAAAAAAACCAAACCTACTGCCATCAAGTGGATTCTGACTCATACCAACCGCGTAGGGTTTCCAAGGCTATAAGTCTGTTCGGAAGCAGCCTGCCACATCTTTCTGCCGTGGAGCAGCTGGTAGTTTCGAGCCATTGACCATTCAGTTAGCAGTCTGGTGCTTTAACCACTGTGCCACCAAGGCTAAAGCTTTACTGGTAAGTTATTGTATTCCTTGCTGCCTTGGACTTACAACTATATTTATTTATTAAAGCTAGTTTCAGTTAAGAATGTTCTTGATGAAGCAGTACAGGTTAATTTCATTTCATTAAATCCCAGCCCTTGAGTACACCTTATTAATATTCTGTGTGATAAAACGTGTAGTACACGTAAAACACCTTTGCATTATAAAGCAGCCCCACTATCCATGTGTTTCAGGGTAGAATGGTGCACCATAGGCTTTTCAGTGGCTGTGATCTTTCAGAAGTGGATTGCTAGGCCTTTTTTCTACAGTCCCTCTGGACAGATTTGAAACGCCAACCTGTTGGTTAGTAGGCCAACACTTAACCATGTGCACTGCTCAGGGACTCCTCATTAGCCATTTAAAGGAAGAAAAAAATTTTTTTAAGTGGTGAAAAGTTGGATGTAACAGATTCTCAGCCATAAGTTACCGTTTAAACTGTGATCTGTCAATTTGATGGACTATTACATAATCATTAAAAATTGTGATCATAAAGATTAAGTCATAATATGGAAAAATATCTGTTAAGAAAATAACATCACAAAAGTATTTTGAATCTAGCTATACATTTTTAAAATGCATTTAAAAAAATCTTAAAGACCAGACTTACTGGCCTGATAGAGACTGGAGAAACCCTGAGAGTATGGCCCCTGGACACCCTTTTAGCTCAGTAATGAAGTCACTCCTGATGTTCATCCTTCAGCCAAAGATTAGACAGGCCCATAAAACAAACTAGACTAAAGGGACACAACAGCCCAGGGACAAGGACTAGAAGGCAGAAGGGGACAGGAAAGCTGGTAATAGAGGGAACCCAAGGTTGAGAAGGGATAGTGTTGACATGTCATAGGGTTGTTAACCAATGTCATAAAACAACACGTGTACTAACTATTGAATGAGAAGCTAGTTTGTTCTGTAAACCTTCATCTAAAGTACAATTTTTAAAAAAAGGCTAAAAGTAAACAGACTAAGGTATTGATTAACATTTTAACAGTTAATTAACAATCTTATCTAGGACTTATGATGGGGAGCCTAAACCAAAAAAAAAAACCCAAACCCAATGCCATCGAGTCGATTCCGACTCATAACGACCCTACAGGACGGAGTAGAACTGCCCCATAGAGTTTCCGGGGAGCACCTGGTGGATTCAGGCTGCTGTCCTTTTGGTTAGCAGCCATAGCTCTTAACCACTACACAACCAGGGTTTCCTTGGATTGGCAAAATGTTTACTTTTACTGTATTTGCATCCGTACTCTTAGAATTTTATCAATGAAAGAAAATAACAGTACAGAGAAGTTTTTTTTACCTTTCACCATTTTGCACTCTAATCTTTATTAAACATATATTACTTTTATAATGAAAGTGTGTATATTACTTTTATAATGAAAGTGTATATATTACTTTTATAATGAAAGTGTATATATTACTTTTATAATGAAAAAAACATTTAAAAAAACCCTTACGACTTAACACTTTTCAAGACCTTTTGTGGCCATACATTTTTTATTATTTACTTTTCCTCCGGTATCCACCTACTGTTTGCTGTCAGACCAATTTTCTCACCTTGCATTCATTCTGCCTTATTTAACGGACAAGTACATCTATATTTCTAAACTGCACTACAGGTGATTGTGATTTATATTGTCAGTTAAGAGTCACTGATCTAGACTTTATGAATTATTTTTAAAAAATAATGAGACCATCCTTACCTTTGAGACTCTTAATATATAGCACTTATTTTTAAACATGTCACCAGTAAATCTCAGAGACTTACCACAATAATGGTTTGTTTCTCTTACACATCACATGTTGGTAGCAGCACGTTGACTGGCCTTTGCCTAGCCCTTGGCTCTTCTCTACATGACTTTGTCATTCTAGGATCCAGACTGAAGGAGCAATTCCTCTTTGGGACATGCCATTCTTACAGCAGAAGGGAAAGGGCAAGAGAGCTGGTAGAAACATGCACAAGCTCTTAGAGACTCTTACTGAGGTGGCATATGTCACAGTTGTTCATGTGTCACTGACCAGAGCAAGTCACATGGAAGCCCAACTTCAGTGGCATGAGAATGTATACTCCCACCAGAGGTAGCACAGTAATGCAGTCTACCAAAAAGTATGAGCTGTTTTTGGGTAACAAAAGTAATAAATTCACTTGTTAAAAAATTCTTCATGGTAATAGTTGAACAACATGATCAGCATACTTAATGTTACAGAATTGTACATGTGAAGATTGTTGAAATAGCAAATGTTTTGTTACCTATATACTTACCACAGTAACATATACATGTATATGTATATACAGTATATATGTATATATAGTTTTCTGTTAATGCAGAAGTGTATCTAATGAAAAGTAAGTCTTCCTGCCCATCCCAGACCACTAGTCCCTTTCCCTAGGGATAACTGCTGTTAACAGTTTTTGAGTATCTTTTCAGAAATTTTCTATGCTTATACAAACATATATGAATATATCATTACAAATACACATCTGTAAACACACAGACACACATACAAAGGAATCATGGATTTTTTCACTAACAGTATGTGGTGCACCTGATCGCTTTTGTGTGGCCTTTCTCGCTATGGTCTTGTAACTCCCACCCAAGTGATTGGGTGGGACTGAGCAAATAAGGTAATTGCAGCCCACCAAGGGGATCAGTCAGTTTTGCCATCCCGCGAGGCTTAAAAAGAGAGCTAATTCCAGAGGGGAGAGAGGATCTCACCGCCAACAAGGAAGAAGAGCCAAGAATGGAGTACATCCTTTGGACTCGGGATCCCTGCACTGAGAAGCTTCTAGAACCAGGAGACCGAGAGAGAGCTGTAACACTGAAGATGGAGAGAAGTAGTGGCAGAGAAATGGCTGCAGGAGAGACCTTCAGAAGATGGCACAGTGGGCTTCCCGGTCCATGCAGCGAGAAAGCTGAGCACCTTTGGGCTGAGGTTTACCGGCAGAGTAGGATGTCTCTGGTCACTTATTGGCACAGCTAAAAGAGATCTATATTTATGCCTATTCCCAAGAAAGGTGATCCAACCGAATGCAGAAATTATCAAACATATCATTAATATCACACACAAGTAGAATTTTGCTGAAGATCATTCAAAAGCGGCTGCAGCATTATATTAACAGGGAACTGCCAGAAATTCAAGCTGGATTCAGAAGAGGACGTGGAACCAAGGATATCATTGCTGATATCAGATGTATCCTGGCTGAAAGCAGAGAATACCAGAAAGATGTTTACCTGTGTTTTATTGACTATACAAAGGCATTCAACTGTGTGGATCATAACAAATTATGGATATAACATTGCAAAGAATGGAATTCCAGAACACTTAGTTGTGCTTATGGAGAACCTGTACATAGACCAAGAGGCAGTTGTTCGAACAGAACAAGGGGATACTGCATGGTTTAAAGTCAGAAAAGGTGTGTGTCAGAGTTGAGGTGTACCTGCGGGATGGAAGAACGGTATCCTGAGCATTACTGAACCTGAATTGTAACCTGTTAACCTCCCTAATAAGCCCTATAATTGTAAGTATTGTCTGTGAGTTCTGTGTGGCCTTTGCAATGAATTGAACCCAGCAGAAAAGTAGAGAGTGCCATGGGATGGCTGGTGTCAGAATTGGTAAAGATGGCTTAATGAGAGACATGTCTGACCTCTGCCTCATAGGAGTGAGCCTTGGGCTGTTGATCTTGATTCTCCTTCCCCTTTGTGAAGTTAGAGGAGTTCAGATGCCACCCCCACACCATTTTTACACAGTATCTTTTTTTTTTTTTAAATAATATTTTATTGTGTTTTTAGTGAAAGTTTACACAGTAAATTAGGCTCCCATTTGACAACTTCTGTACAGATTGTTCAGTGACATTATTTACATTTTTCACAATGTGTCAGCATTCTCTTTAATTGGCTTCTGGTTGTTCGGTTTCCAGTACTCTAGTCTGCCTGTCCCCGTATCTTCTCATCTTTGCTTTAGAGTAAATGTTGACCTCTTGGTATCATATAGATATTTTTTTTTTTTTAATTGTATTTTTGGTGAAAGTTTACATAGAAAATTAGGTTCTCATTTAAATAATTTCTGTAAATATTGTTCAGTGACATTGGTTACCTTTTTCATAATATATCAGAATTCTCTTTCTTTCCATTCTAGTTATTCTGTTTCCCTTAATCTAGCTTCCTGTCCCCTTTTACCTTCTCATGTGGTCTAGGAAAATGTTTACCATTTGGTTTCGTTTAGATGACTAGAGGAGCACAGTACTCACGGGTGATCGTATTTATTTTATGGGTCCATCTGTCTTTTGGCTGAGAGGTGACCTCTGGGAGTAGTTTGAGTTCCAGGTTTAATGGGTATCACAGAGTAATAATCTACTCTTCCAGTAAGTCTGGCTTTTTTTTTTTTTTTTTTTTTTTTTTTAAGATTTGAATTTTGTTCTGCATTTTTCTCCCATTCTATCCAGGACCATTTATTAAGTCCCTGGTCAGAACAGTCAGTACTGACAGCCAGGCACCATCTAGTTCTTCTGGTCTCAAGGTAGGTGAGGCCATTGTTTGTGTAGACTATTAGTTCTGTAGACGAGTTTCTTCTTTGAGTCTTTGGTTTCCTTGTTTCTTTTTCACTCTGGACAAGTGGAGACCAGTAGTTTTATCCTAGATGGCTACTTGCAAGCTTTTAAGACCCCAGATGCTACTCACCAAACTAGGATGTAGAACATTGTCTTAATGGACTATATTGTGCCAGTTGACCGAGTTGCCCCATGAGACGATGGTTCTAAGCCCCTAAACCGAGTAAACCAATCCTGTGAGGTGTTTGGTTTTGCCTAGTAAGTATCCATAACTGTGCCCTCTGCGTGCTTTATGTTTGAAATTGTATGCAGTACACATAAACATGTATATGCATATGCCAACAGTTACATCCATCCATGCACTTCCATATATTCCTATACGTCTTCCCACTAACAGTATCTTTTTTTTTTTTAATTTTTTTTATTGTACTTTAGATAAAGGTTTACAGAACAAATAGTTTCTCCTTAAATGGTACACATATATTTTAAGACATTGGTTAACAACCCCACGACATGTCAACACTCTCCCTTCTTGACCTTGGATTCCCTATTACCAGCTTTCCTGTCCCCTCCTGCCTTCTAGTCCTTGTCCCTAGGCTGTTGTGCCCCATTAGTCTTGTTTTCCCACTAAGAGTATCCTGAACTTTTTTATAACTTTTTTTTTTTTGGACAGCAGAATAGTATATATCATTGAATTGGCCCTACCATACTTTATTTCAGTTTTTTTTTTTTTTTTTTTCCTTTTCTGTTTTCTTGTACCTTAGTTTGCTTTCATGGACAGTTCTTACCTGTGTTCTGTGTAATTTACTCATTATTTACAAAATAGTTTTGTTTTTTTCTTCTGTTTCTTTTTAGAGTTCTACTAGTTCCTGTTTTATCCGTTCCCATTGTTTGGTCATATAGTATAATGTTTAAGGGTGTGGATTGTGGGCCCACACTCCATGGGTTCAAGCCCACACTTTACCCCTTACTGAGTTTGTGGATTTAATTAACCTTCTGTGTTTCTATTTCCCCATCTATAAAATAATTACCTACCTTATATAGATATTAGTAGAAGTAAATAAGTTTATATAGGGAAAGTCCTTTAAACAGTGTCTGGCACATGTTAGGAGGAATCAGTCCCTGGAGAAGGACATCATGCTTGGTAAAGTACAGGTTCAGTGAAAAAGAGGAAGACCATTGACGAGATGGATTGACACAGTGGCTGCAACAATGGGCTCAAGCATAGCAACGACTGTGAGGATGGTGCAGGACCAGGGTCACTGTGAGTTAGAATCGACTTGACGGCACCTAACAACAACAAGCACACCTTAAGATACACCATCATGATAATAGCATATGTGTAGTTGCATATATGCTAATATATGCTATTATTATTGATTCTTTTCCCTAGCACCTTAAAGGAGTGTCTGTTTTATTTTAGGCACCCAGTAAATATTTGTGGAATGAATAAATGAATGTTAGAGACAGTGGTTGGGGTTCTAAGAGTCTAATAGCTTCTTAAACAATTTTTCAGTCAGTCCTCCTGTGTTCAGCCTGAAGCAACCCTGCGTTCTTCTGTATTCCTGAGCCTGTTTAGGTTTCTACAGTAACTTGCTGTGCTACTTTGGTTGAATGAATAAATAAATATTGTTCTTATGATGTGAACAGTAAGACGTTGACAGATGTGATATTGATGATGACAGCCTAGCACTGGTATTTTATACTTGAAGGAAAAACCATTAATTAATTGGGCATAATTCCCTTCCTGTGTCCCAACCCCACCCCCCAGTACATTATTCTTAACTTTTGATATCATTTCAAATGAAGTCCTTTTCTAACTGTTGGGGAGTCTGTTCTGAACGGAAGGCTTTATCTCCGGTGTCCTCTGAGATGGCACAGAATATGTTTCCAAATGAGTTCCCTTAAAGAAAACTGTTAATGAATTATTTTAAAACATTAACACATGATGAAGCGTATTATATACGTACATTATTTTTTGTATTTAAAGGTTGCTGTTAAGAATGATACATAAAATACATACTGAGAAATTTTAAAAATACTTTTAATGTACTACATTATATTAGCATGATATATTTTGTTTCTTACTGCTTTGCAGGTAGATGTAAGTATAAAATTATGGAAAAATGGATTCACGGTCAATGATGATTTCAGAAGTTATTCTGATGGTGCAAGTCAGCAGTTTCTGAACTCCATCAAAAAGGGGTAAGTTATCTTTGTAAATAGAAGCATATTTTAGGCATGTTTCATGTGGAAGAATCTTTTTTAACTTCATAGATCCCCACACATTCACAGATAAACTTCTTATAAAATTCACATTTCATAAGATAGGTTTTCTTAAAGGATCCACAGCTGTACTTCTGAGGATAGTTTAGAAACTTGTGTTCTGATCAACCAAAATCTTAAACTAATTCATTTTGTTGAGTATGCCTTAAAACCAAAGTTTTAATTTAGTATTTATGTTATTTAATATTAATATTTAAATATTTAGACATCTTTAGAGTCTTTGAATCCAGTGATATTAGTGTCCTATAATGTTTATTATATATTTATGACTCTAAGAGTTATATATGCTTTGTCTAGAAAATTTTAAAAATATATTAAGAAGAACTTGAAAATCACCTGTAATTTCACCACCCAGAAGTAACTGCTGTTAACATCTTGGTGAATTTTATTCTGACATTTTCTGTTCATGGATTCATATATATTATACGTATAGTTATTTTTTAAAACAAATACGAATTTATCATTATGAGATATTTGAATGCATCTGCATACTGTTTTATCATAATGATGACCGATAATTTATATATACAGTTTATCGTTGGCAATTTAGATTATTTCTTATTTAATAAAAAAATCTGCATCTATCCTCAGTTGAAGCTGAAGAAAATTAAAACAAGTCCACGAGAGCCAAAGTAGAACTTTAAGTATATCCCACCTGAATTTAGAGACCGTCTTAAGTATAGATTTAACGCATTGAACACTAATGACCGAAAACCAGACAAGTTGTGGAATAGCATCAAGGACATCATACATGAAGAAAGCAAAAGGTCGTGAAAAAGATAGGAATGAAAGAAAAGACCAAAATGGATGTCAGAACAGTCTCTGAAACTTTCTCTTGAATGTAGAGCAGCTAAAGGGAATGGAAGAAATGATGAAGTAAAAGAGCTAAACAGAAGATTTCACTGGGCGGCTTGAGAAGACAAAATAAAGTATTATAATGCAACATGCAAAGACCTGGAGTTAAGCAAACCAAAAGGGAAGAATACGCTCAGCATTTCTCAAGCAGAAAGAACTGAAGGACCTACTTTGGTGAGTAGCATCTGGGGTCTTAAAAGCTTGTGAGTGGCCATGTAAGATACTCCACCCCGTCTGGAGCAAGGGAGAATCAAGAAAACCAGAGACACGAGGGAAAGATTAGTCCAAAGGACTAATGGACCACAGCTACCACAGCCTCCACCAGATTGAGTCCAGCACAACTAGATTGTGCCCGGCTACCACCACCAACTGCTCTGACAAGGATCACAATAGAGGGTCCTGGACAGAGCTGGAGAAAAATGTAGAACAAAATTCAAACTCAAAAAAAAAAACAAACAGACTTACTGGTCTGACAGAGACTGGAGGAACCCTGAGAGTATGGCTCCTGGACACTCATTTAACTCAGTACTGAAGTCACTTCTGAGGTTCACCCTTCAGCCAAAGATTAGACAGGCCTATAAAACAAAATGAGACTAAATGGGCACACCAACCCAGGGACAAGGACAAGAAGGCAGGAGGGGACAGGAAGGCTGGTGTTGATGGGGAACCCAAGGTCGAGAAGGGGAGAGTGTTGACACATCATGGGGTTGGCAACCAGTGTCACAAAATAGTATATGTATTGTTTAACGAGAAGCTAATTTTGCTCTGTAAACCTTCATCTAAAGCACAATTTTAAAAAAGAACTGAAGGAAAAATTCAAGCCTCAATTTGCAATATTGAAGGATTCTATGGACAAACTATTGAACGACACAGATAGCATCAAAAGAAGATGGAAGGAATACACAGAGTCACTGTACCAAAAAGAATTGGTCTATGTTCAACCATTTCGGGAGGTAGCATATGATCAAGAACTGATGGTATTGAAAGAAGAAGTCCAAGCTGCACTGAAAGCATTGGTAAAAAACAAGGCTTCAGGAATTGACTGAATGCCAGTTGAGATGTTTTAGCAAATGAGTGCAATGCTGAGAGTGCTCAAGAAATTTGGAATACAGCTACCTGGCCAACCAACTGGAAGAGATCCACATTTGTGCCCATTCCAAAGAAAAGTGATCCAACCAAATGCAGAAATTATTGAATAATACCATTAATATCACACGCAAGTAAAATTTTGCTGATGATAATTCAAAAACGGTTGCATCAATACATCAACAGAAATTCAAGTCAGATTCAGAAGAGGACATGGAATGAGGGATGTCCTTGCTGATGTCAGATGGGTCTTGGCTGAAAGCAGAGAATACCAGAAAGATGTTTACCTGTGTTTTATTGACTATGCAAATGCGTTTGACTGTGTGGGTCGTAACAAATCATGGATAACATTGCAAAGAATGGGAATTCCAGAATATTTAATTGTGTTCATGAGGAACCTGTACATGGACCAAGAGGAGTCATTTGAAGAGAGCAAAGGGATACTGCATAGTTTAAAATCAGGAAAGGTGTGTGTCAGGGTTGTATCATTTCACCATACTTATTCAATCTGTATGCTGAGCAAATAATCTGAGAAGCTGGACTATACATGAAGAGGAACGCAACATCAGGATTAGAGGAAGACTCATTAACAACCTATGATATGCAAATGACACAGCTTTCCTTGCTGAAAGCAAAGAGGTCTTGAAGCACTTACTGATGAAGATCAAAGACCACAACCTTCATTATGGATTACACTTCAACATAAAGAAAACAAAAGTCCTCACAACTGGACCAGTAAGCAACATCATAATAAACAGAAAAAAAATTCGAAGTTGTCAAGGATTTCATTTTACTTGGATCCACAATCAATGCCCATGGAAACAGCAGTCAAGAATCAAACTGCATATTGCATTGGGCATATCTACTACAAAAGACCTCTTTAAAGTGTTAAAAAACAAAAATGTCACTTTGAGGACTAAGGTGTGACTGACCCAAGCCATGATATTTTCAGTCACCTCATATGCATGTGAAAACTGGACAATGAGTAAGGAAGACAGAAGAAGAATTGATGCCTTTGAATTGTGTTGGCAAAGAATATTGAATACACTGTGGACTACCAGAATAAAAAACAGTCTTGGTAGAAGCACAGCCAGAATGCTCCTTAGAAGTGAGGATGGCGAGACTTGTCTCATGTACTTTGATCTTGTTATCAGGAGGTACCAGTCCCTGAAGAAGTACATTATGCTTGGTGAAATAGAGGGTCAGTGAAAGAGAGGAAGAGCCTCAATGAGAAGGATTTACACAGTGGCTGCAACAATAGGCTCAAGCCTAGCAAAGATTGTGAGGATGGCATATGACCGGGCAGTGTTTTATTCTGTTGTGCATAGGGTCACTCTGAGTTAGAACTGATTCAGAGGCACCTAACAACAACAACAACATCCTTGTATTTAAATATATTTTAAAATTAACAGCTTTATTGAGATATTATTAACGTACCATAAAATTCATCCTTTTAAAGTGCATAATTCAGTGTTTTTTAGTATATTCAAGTTCATCTATGCTGTGCCGTGTATCAGTACTGAATTCCTTTTTATTGCCAAATAGTATTCCATTGTATGTGTATATCACATTTTATCTGTTAATCAGTTGATGGACATTTGGGCTGTTTCTAGTTTTTACCTATTATGATAATGCTGCTATGAACATTAATGTACAAGTTTTTGTGTAGACATGTATTTTCCGTCCTCTCAGGTATATGCCTAAGAGCAGAATTGCTGTTAACTCTGTTTAACTTTATGAGGAGTCACCAAACTGTTTTCCAAAGTGGCTGTACCATTTTACATTCCCACCAGCAGTGTATGAGGGTTATAGTTTTTCCATTTCCTCACCAACACTAACTGTACACTAATGAGAAAAGGTATCTATGGGATATTGCTAAAATAAAACAGGTTGCAGAATAATGTGTATAGATTGATCCCATCTGTGGGAAAAAAGTAAAATAATTATATAGAGTTGCTATATGTGTAGACAAAATCTGGGAGAGGCCACACCAAAGTTTTTTAAATTAAAGTGGGATTTCTAAGTTTACACATTTTTACATTTTTAATGTCTTTTTTTGAAAAACAAGCACGTATTACTTATTTTTCAATAAAAAAATTTAAAACTTTCTTACTGAAGTATGACTTACATAAAAGTACACAAATTTTAAGTGTATACTAAATGAATTTGAATTATTTCTGTTATCAGAAAAAAATTTATATTAGAGAATTTGTTAAATTTTTTAACATCTCTGTGGAAGTTCATTGCTTGTATATATTAAATATATTCCATAGCTTTCTACACTTTCAAGTGATCATTAGAAAAGACTTTACCTTCAAAAGACCATAACATTCAACAAATATTTGTCCAAGTTCTGCTATGTACCACATATGATTCCGGAGTATGTTTGTGAGCAAAACATACGTAGTCCCTGCATACCGGGGGCTCACCTTGTTCAAAAGAGAGGCATCTGTGGTACACTAGACAAAGCACTGGGTAGAGGTCAAGTCCTGACTATTTAATCTCTCTGGTAGGAAGAAGAAATGTGAAAACATTTCTTTTTAAAATTCTGATATGTTTGTTATTTTACCTTTGTCGTTTCCAAAGTAAATCTCTATTTTAATTTTCATTCAAAAATTGAAATGCGAGCTTCATATTTTTGTAGCACTTTTCAGTCCTATTTGGGCAGGCACCTATAAAAATGATCAAACTGTTTAAATTTAGCAGTATATAGTCATCAAGTATTTCATGACTTTGGTACTGCTGGAAAACTCATGCATGAATTTATGGTCTGAAAATTACTCGTTCTGGATTTCTGATATTGTTCAAACTATTTAATCATATTATTACCTTTAAATAAATTTAATTCTGTCAGTATAGGGTCTGTTATATGCCTTTGTTTCTATATATTATCCAGTTCTTTGTTTTGCATACAGAATATGCTTTTCAGAGAAAGAGAAAACATACTGGAAACTTTATTTTTATCATTTTGTTTCTTTTCCTTTCCAGGGAACTACCTTTAGAATTACAGGGGATTTTTGATAAAGAGGAGGTGGATGTTAAAGTTGAAGATAAGAAAAATGAAGTATTTATGTCAACGAAGCCTGTGTTCCAGCCCTTCTCGGGACAGGGTCACAGATTGGGAAGGTGAGCAGACGCTGGGTCTGTTTTCCACCAGCAGAGGCCTGAGTTATAGTCAACCCATCATTATTTTACCTGTGTAGAGCATGTGGGTAGAGCTTAGCGTTTCTCCATTGGAAATGAAATTCTTTATGTTAACTTTCATGAGTACTCCTAAGTCATATTTACCTTAGTGTAAATTACTATATGCTGGCACTACACTATAAAATCATGGAAGCTTTTTGGTTTTATTAAATTGTAACAGTCTGTCTGATTAAGGACATAGGCAGAATTGGATGAATAAATCATTTTTTTTGCCCTTACACCCACCACTTAAGCTTTACCAATTTTATTGAATACATATGCTAGTATTTTAATATTAGGGTTCTATTTCATAGATAGTTACCAGTGCCTCCAACTGTTCTATGATCAATATCTGAATTTTGAGGTACTAAAAATGAAAATGTGCTTGATAAGGTTAGTATCAATATCAAATTCTGTTAATTATTTTCACAGTGTGCAGTGGGTACCATGTCTAATTATGCCTCATGACAGAATATGCAAAGAGGTCAGATATGGATTTACTTTTATTTTTATGAATTCTCATTCATATTTTAATTATCAACATTGGTAAGGTGCATACATATTCATACATACATACATACAAAAATTTCTGAATATGACTTACAGAATGATAGAAAATACTTTGTTTCTTTTCTTTTTCTTTATAACCCACGGAGTAATCTTTGTAGCGAACTTGTGATTTCTTTTAGAAATTTTCCCCTGGGGAATACGTAAAGATAAAGTCCATAGACTTATCAACCCTATAAAATTATTTGTTCTGTAAAGTGCTATTCAAATACTACTAATAATACATTTATGTAACACTTTATAAGCTTACAAATTATTTGAATATGCATTTTGTTAGATTTTTACAACCATCATATGGGGTGGATATAACTAACAATAATTTATCTTTATGTTGTTACTGAGGAAACAACTCAGAAAAGTTCAGTGATTTGGCCAAATCACATAGCTAGTAAAGAGCAAAGGAGAACCTGAAAATATACTTTTAGAACAATGTTTTTTCCTTTCTATCACCCATTTCATTGTAATTGATAGTAAAAATAACCACCGTATACTTGGACATATTCCATTTGTGTGGTTATTATACCAAATGCCATGTGTGTATCTTTGTGTGTGTGTGAGAGAGAGAGAGAAACAACACTGAAGCTGTAGTACCTCCGTCTTTAAAGAACTGAATTAAGGTCGTATAGAAATAGACCTGATTTTCTGAGATCCATTTAACTCCTTGTCCATTTTATTTCAACAAAACATGTTTGTGGAACACTGAATATGTGCCTGAGCTACCTAACTGTCTTTGAAATGTGCTTAATCTGTTTTGAACACCAAGAAAGGGAAATTAAACCTATAAAGTATACATTCTTATTTTTCTAACAATAGTACAATACTTTTAAAGTTTCACCAAGGAAGACTTCCCCTCCACATCGTCATCATGATAGGTTATGGTTATATTCTACATATTCCTAATTCTTTCTATAATTCATTATAAATGCAAGGTTAAAATAATTTTAATATTTTAGTTATATGTCCTGGTTTAGAAAAACTTATATGAATCATAATCTTCATATACTTTTGTAATCTTATTTTAACACTGGGGAAGATTTGAAGAAACTTGCTAAAAATACCTTTGTCAATACTTTGTGCAGTTTAAGTCTTAAAAAACCTTGTAAATAAATACTGTGGTTGTATGTATTTGCGTTTGATTATCATTTGAACTTCTCTTTTGAACTTATTTTATATCCCTACCTATTCTCTCTTGGGCCAGTTTAATGAGAAAATAATTGATGATTTGCATTTTTAAGGAAATAAGAGAAAGGGTAGAAATAACCTGATTGGGATCTTGATGGAGAAATACATAGTTCTAACGTTACACTCAAGTTTCAGTGATAGGATTGGTAATTCAATTTAAAGAGAACCAGTCTTTAAGTGTATGTGTATACATCACCACCCAACACAATTATTTAGTCAAAACCTGTTATTTAGCTTATCCCCCATCTCAGTTATTTTCTGGAGTTCAAGTTTCGTTCCTTTCCTCCCATTAAGTCACCTGTGCCACTTTATACTGGAGTTTTTTGTTTTTGTTTTTAGTTACTGAAAGAAAGAAAATGTGAACTTCATGTTGTATCACATCAGGAGGCACATAATAACTCTTTGCCCCAGATGAATAATACAAAGAATCAGTGGTTTAACCTGGTAACAGTCAGATCTCTTTTGTTAAAAAGTTATGTTTTTCCTTTCACAGCCAGCAAGTGAGGTGATACTTTGGCATCATATGAACCTTCAGTTCACCACAGCCTGTTACTTAATTGCTTTAAATGTGATGATCCTTGCCCGAATCAGTTATTTCATTGTTGTTGTTATGTGCCCTTTAGTTGATTCCAACTCATAGCAACGCTATAGGACAGAGTAGAACTGCCCCAGAGGGTTTCCTAGGCTGTAATCTTCACAGGAGCAGATTTCCAGGTCTTTTGTCCCACTGAGCTGCTGGTGAGTTCAAACTGTAGACCTTTCAGTTAGTGGCAAGTGCTTAGTCATTGCACTACCAGGGCTCAGTTATTTCATTAGAGATTACCAAATGGTGGTCTTCTGTATCTGTCATTCCTTTTACATCTATTAAAGATTTTTTTATTGAGAGATATCATGAAAATATGGGAGGACATAGTATTAATTATGTGTAATAGACATGGGAGAAGAAACTTGGGGTACTGTTAGCAGTGACACAGGAAGGCTGAGTAGATTGGAGAAGTATGGAGAACTAGGAGATTCTTTATTAAACCATGGTATATAGTAATGGTTATACAGCTATTTTTGGAAAGCAGTATTAATGAAAACACAGAGTTTTGAAAGTTGTTTAATTTTTGAAATTACTTATTCAACAAATATTTTTTCAAGGGCACCTATTACATATTAGGCATCGAAGACACAAAACTTCCTTGCCTTTGTTTTGCTGCCATTCTAACGGGAGTAATAGCTCAATAAATTGACTTGAGTAATTTACAAGTGCCATCATGAAAGTAAGGAGTAACTGATGTTTAAGGTTAGACTAGCAAAGAGTACATCGGTAGAAAAATGGCAACAGGTTAAGGAACTCTTCAGCTCATTCTTGAGGATTCTCTTTGACCAGGCAGATGGTGTTGAGTACCATAGAGTCAGTTCCAACTCATAGCACCCAATAGGACAGAGTAGAACTGCCTGAGAAATCATTTTAATTCTCCTGAAGCCCAGATTTCTGAGGTCAATGGAGTTGGGGTAACTCCACCCAGGCGATTTGCTCTTAGGTATCTTTTTGAACCTTGAGCCTTTAAGGAACTGGTTTTCCTAAAGTCGCCTTCAAGTCAAACAATAGCCTGGTAAGCAGCTTAGGCATTGCACTCTTTTGGAGGGTTATCTTATGTGCTGTCAGTTTCGAGAAACAAGAACTCCAAGGTCTGACTGGAAGCTATGTTTTAGGACATATGGCATGTCCTTAATGACTCTTTTTACAACTGACTGACCCTGAAGCCCTGCATGTGCTCTGACTCTGTCTTCTGAGAAACCAACAGGAAAGGAATTTGCAGTGATCTTTAGAATCCTTGGAGCCCTGGTGGCACAGTTAATAGCTACGGCTGCTAACCAAAAGTTGGCAGTTTGAATCCACCAGCCCCTCCTTGGAAAACCTATGGGGCAGTTCTTCTCTGTCCTGTAGGGTCTCTCTGAGTCGGAATTGACTGGACAGCAGTGGGTTTCTTTTTTTAGGGTCCTTGGCGTCACAGTGATTAAACACCACTGCTAAGCAGAAGTTCGGCAGTTCAAACCCACCAGCTGCTCTGCGGGATGAAGATGTGGCAGTCTGCTTCTATGAAGATTTACAGCCTTGGAAACCCTATCAAGCAGTTCTGCTGTGTCCTGTAGGGTCACTATGAGTCAGAATCAACTTGACGGCTATGGGTTTAGTTTTTTTTGGGTTTTCAGGAGACTGTCCTGCTTGGATCCTGCCTATATAACCTATTTTCACCATCCCCTCTTTGGAGAGCCTTCCTGATACCTTCAGGTTGACACTGCCCAATTCAACTCTTATCTACTCAGAATAAATATATTCTGTTACACTAATTTTTGACGTTTCTCTGCATATTTAAGTTTTTAATGTGCCCCGTAGGGTTTTCTAGGCTATAATCTTTATGGAAGCAGATTGCCAGGTCTCTCTCTCAGAGAACCAGTGGGTGGGTGCAAACTGCCAACCTTTTGGTTAGCAGCTGAGTGCTTAATGTAGCGCCATCAGGGCTCCTGGTGATAGAGAAACTGGGGTGCCATAGAGTCGATTCCATGGACAGTAAAAGGCGGTGTTGCAGGTAGAGGAAATAGCGTGTGTAAGGGTGCAGGTGTGAGAACAAGTGGAGTCCCAGATTGCAGGTAGGTAGAGCACAGGGTAGGTATGGGTGATTAGCAAGAAATAAAGTCAGAAAGGTAGGTAGTTATGGATCCATTTTTGAAAGTGGGTTTTCTTTTATTGTCTTGCTAATGGGTCGCTAAGCAGTGAGAAGCAATTGAAGAATTTTAAGGAGGAGTATGGCATAAATCACTATTTTGTATCATATCCTGCATCACATATAGACGGCAGTTTAGCATACTGGGAGCCTTGGTGGCACAAAGGTTAAGAGCTCGGCTGCTAACCGAAAGGTTGGCAGTTCAAATCCACCAGCTGCTCCTTGGAAACCCTAAGGGGCAGTTCCGCTCTATCCTGTAGGGTTGCTATGAGTTGGAATCGATTCCACAGCAACGGGTTAATGCATTTTAGCCTACTGGTAAGAGCACAGGCTTGAGAGTTTCACTATCCTAATATGGTAGAAACTAACCACATGAAGGTATTTAAATTTAAACTTAAATATAAATTCAGTTCCTCGTTCACACTAGCCATATTTCAAGGGTTCAGCAGCCATGTCTGGCTAGAGGCGACTCTATTGGACAATGTGAATATAGAACCTTTCTATCATCTCAGAAAATTCTAGTAGACAGTGCTGCTCTACAGTCAGACTGCCTCGGTTTCCCAAGCCATCACTTACCATCTTACTGATCTTTGAGCAAGTTATTTAACATCCATAAGCCTCAAGTCAGGGCTAATATTGACCCTTCTTCATTAGGTTGTAAGTATTTAGTAAGACAAATGGTTATAAAGCGCTTAACCTCCATTTATGTGGCACATAGTAACATTAAAACGACTTTAGCTATCTGTATTTTTATGATAGCTTGAGGATAAAATTCCTTTTCTGCTTTTTAATAGATCCTTTTTTATCTGTATTTTGTATTTACAGCATTTGCATTTACATTTCTTGGTTTTAGTTTGAATGAGGTTTTTCTTTTCTTTTTTTTCAGATTCCGGCACACAGATTTATGATTTACAAAAGTCTTCATAAAGCTGTTGCTATTGTTGTTAGTTGCTGAGTATATTTAATGTAAAATTTGTATGGTAGTTGTTCAGTGATAAAGTTCTGCTCAATGTCTATGTTTTTTGGGTTTTCTTAGCGCCACGCCAAAAATTGTTTCTAAAGTAAAGAGTATTGAAGTTGAGAATAAAAACAATCTATCTGCTGTCCCATTAAACAACCTGGAACCCATCACTAACATACAGATCTGGTTAGCCAATGGGAAAAGGATTGTCCAGAAATTTAACGTTTCACATAGGTGAGTCTTCATTTCAATATTTATCTGATTTTTTTCCAAGTTTAAATTTCATTGCTGCTTTTTAGTTCCATCAACAGTTATTTTTAAGAACTAACCAAGGATTTTAATAAACAGTTCTGTAAACATAATATATCAAGACAATGGAAATTCTTGGATAATAATAAAATATTTCAGTCTGTTTTATGGATAATCATTTTACTAATCAATTGATTAGTTTTTATTTTAATTAGATAATGTAATTTTTAAATTTTAGTATTTTTAAAATCATACTGTAGCATTATGTATATTGTTATTTGTAGAAAAAGAATGAAAGTGCAGAAAAGTAGTAAAAGAAATAGAAGTCAATTTAAATTCCACCACCCAGAAATAGGAGCCCTGGTGGTACAGTAGTTACGCGTTTGGCTGCTAACCAAAAGGTTGGCAGTTCGAATCCACCAGCCACTCCTTGGAAACCCTATGGACAGTACTACTATGTCCTAATAAGGTTGCTATGAGTCGGAATCAACTCTGCAGCAATGAGTTTGGTTTCCCAACCTGATGACCCATCACACCCAAATATTTTAATGTGTATTTTCAATAAACAATGATACTCTCACACCTAACCACAACACAGCCATCTAAATCAAGAATTTAACTTAATACACTTCTACCAACTCGCATTTGGACCCTATTTCAAGGTTTGCCATTAATCTGCTATCATCCTTTATAGCGAAAGACCAATTCAGAATCACACATTGCATTGAGTTGTCATGTCTCAGTTTGAAATAGTTCCTTAATCTTTCCTTGTCTCAGACAAATGCCAGTGCTTTAGTATTTCTCTGTGTTCATGATTGTATTAGTACAGAAGTGAAAACCAAACCAAACCCATTGTCATAGAGTTGATTCCAACTCATGGTGATCCCATGTGTTACAGGGTAGAACTCTATAGGATTTTCTTTGCTGTAATCATTATGGAAGCAGTTTGCCAGGCCTTTCGTCTGTGCAGCCACTGGATAGGTTCAAACCATTACCCTTTAGATTTACAACACATATTTTTGGGGGACACAATTCAATCCATAACACTAACATAGCGGTTCTTTTTCCAGGATTTTATCATTATGGACATGCACGAGCATTTAGTTAAACAAATATATTCATCACAGTATTGTTTATATTGGCAAAAAACTGGAAATAGTATACGTGTCCTGCAGTAAAGGACTGAATAGATAAGTTATGGTATATTCTTTTAGTGGAGTAGTGTAAAGCCATTAAAAATTACATTATAGAGCATTTAATGAAGTAGAAAATTGCTTACTGAATATTTAGTGTAAAGAATGATGCTGTCATACAGTATAATTAGTTTTCTTATAAAATAAATATGTATGTTTGAATGTATTCATAGGCAAAGAAAGTTCTGGGGTGAGATTAATAGTGGTTTACTCTGGATAATAGACTTTCTATATTTTTTACATTGAACATGTGTATCTTGCATAATAAGCTAAAAAATTTTTTTTGAAGGATTACCTGATCCTTTGATATTACTCCACTACCTATTGTAAATGTTAAACACATAGAGAATACTTACTGAATTAATGAATCCAAATTCTGTAATTTTTTTTATGGCACGTGAACTTCCCCTTCCCATTTATTCCCACTTTCACCACTTTAGTCCTAGTCCCGTATCACTACAAACCTAGATTATAGTAATCTTAGCTGTCATACCTATCACCAGTGCCACCCCCAATCCATCTAGTAGACCATCTCCAAACTCCTAATTCCAAACACACATTGCATTAGTCACATTTATTTACTTCATCTAAGCATCTTTGGTTTTCAGGTGGAAAAACTCACTCAAACTAAACTCACTAAGTAACTAAGCATAGAAGACTGGGCTTTCCGAGGGACTGGAATAAAAACTAGAGAACGGTTAGGAACCAAGCCAGGCACTGTCTCCATCTCTGTTTGGAACCACAGGATTTCAGTAGCAGGAACTCAGGCCTGGTTGCTTAAACCCCTCAGTGGAAACTGATGAGAGTTGTTGTGTCCCAAATCCAGATTTCCAGGAGAGATGAGCTGATTGGCTCTACTTGGGTCAAGTTTTCATGCCTTGTCCAGTAAACTTTGGGTATGAGGTAGGCGTCTGCTGCCCACTGGCTTGGCATGGAAGAGTCAGGAATATTTGAACAGTGTATTTAGCTTTAAAACTTCTGTCGCTACAAAACCTTGTGGCTACCTTCTAAAGAAGCCTATAATAATGGTCTTGCTCAACATATGAATGTGCACCTTCCCCCTTCCCTACCAGCATTTACTCTGTACCTTGCTAAGCCAGTTGCCTCCCTATCTCCATCTGCATAGTTTGTCCAGTTCTCATCATTCCTTGTCCCTCACCTGTAATAGCTTCATTTTTCCAGCCTTTCCAAATCTTACCTGTCTTTCAAGACCACCCTCAAGTCCATCCACCTCCATGAATCTTTCCCCAGCTCCTTTAATCTTTATTGTCTTCTGGCTTTTTTTTAATGTTTATATTCATTATTATAAGCTTTAGCCTTTAGTTATCCAGTTTTTAGTACTCAAATAAATACACAGGACCATGTCCTAGACTTTTTTTGGTAATCCTCACAGATTCAATAGAGAGACACAGTGAATTTTAGTGAATTGATTGAATGGGAGTATTCTGTGTCTTTAGTGATATGCCACATTTCATTATTTGTGAGTTGCACATTTTTTCACATTTTAGCATCTCTGAAATAAGGACGTGTCCTGTAATCTGTTGGCCATATGGTAGTCATGTCATAATTATCTTTGCCTTAGTATCTGCCTCAAAACTTGCAGAACAGTTGTCAGCTGTGTGAAAGAACGTCCCAGAGATAGTAGTGGAGCAGTTTTTAAAAAAGTTCTTTGTCACTAACACAAACACAGTTGATGATAGAGAGGATGGGTATTATGTGGCAAACCATGTACATTGATGACTGAACTGAAAGTGATTCAGAAGATTGGAGTATGAATAGTGTTAAAAAAAAGTTTTAGGAATACCTTAACCATTTTGTTCTACTTATAGTTTTCATTGTATGAAAGCATGTGAGTGGTATGATAAATATTTAGGCCTAAATTAAGTAAAAATATTTTTTCAGTGAACATAAAATAAAAAAGTAAATGTTAAGAAAATATTTTGCCATAGTTTGATTGACTTTTTTTTCAGTGATACATAAAATAATAATGGGTCTTAAATCAATGGCATCTTAGTTTTGATGAACTGTGAGCACATGCCTCTCTCTCTCTCAGTGTGGGAATATATCTGTATGTACTTAGAGCCCTGGTAGCTCAGTGGTTAAGAGCTTGGCTACTAACTAAAAGGTTGGCAGTTCGAATCTACTAGCCGCTCCTTGGAAACCCTATGAGGCAGTTCTACTCCGTCCTGTAGGGTTGCTGTGAGTCGGAATCGACTTGACCACAACGAGTTTGGTTTGGTTTTGGCATATGTATTTAGGTGAGCATAACTTTGAGGTACCTTTAAGATTGCAGTGATCATGTTACATTATACTGACTAACTATGTTCATTATAATATTCTGCCTGCACTGAGATTAAGGATAAAGGAAAACATCAGAAATTACTATATTTAAGTGGTTTCCTAATTGTATTCAAAATACAACATAACCTGTCATTTAAGACCTACAGCCTCTTTTGTACAAGATCATTTGTTGGACTATTTCTGATGAGCTAGGTATATAGATGTATAAACTTGCTATTTTATAAAATTCCAGACATATACAAAAGCAAAGAGAAGCATATAATGAACCTCCATTATTTTTAAGCAAATCTCAGACTTCCAGATAGTTTCATCTGTCAGTATTTCAGTATGTATCTCTAAGAGATAAGGACTTTTAAAAAACGTAACCATAAAAAAAAAAGTAACCATAATAACCTATTGCACCTACAAAGCTTAACAGTAATTCCTTACTATCATCAAATATCTAAGGATCGCCCTTTTACAGTAGCCCAGTCAATCAGTTCTATCATATCATAATGTAATTCTTCTGTGTATTAACATAGCCAGATACCTACACAAGCTGTTATTACCTTAAACTCGTTAATTCAGATTTTCATGATGTTACGTTAATAGTTCATGCTGTTTTACAGGGTAAGCCACATCAAAGACTTCATCCAAAAATACCAAGGATCTCAGAGAAGTCCTCCCTTTTCTCTGGCAACAGCTCTTCCTTTCCTCAGATTGCTAGATGAGACTCTCACTCTGGAAGAAGCCGATTTACAGAATGCTGTAATCATTCAGAGACTCCAAAGAACAGCCGAGCCTTTTAGAGGACTTTCATAGCATTGGTTTTTGATAGACTAAGTGGAAAATTTGCAGAGAGATGATGGTTGTAAGTGGACATGCAAACCAAAATGGGAGAAAAGAATAGTCAAATTCACTGGACTTTTGGTTCAGGTACTGTTTAACTTTGAGATTTTTTTAGTAAGTACAAATTAGTGAAGTAAAATATGACTAGAAACTATATTCAGTGTACTTTTTCCAGAAGGCTGCTCAGAGAGAATATACTTATTTTCAAATACCAATTAATCAGTATAAGGCATATTATAATAGCTAATATGGTATAAAGTAGCAAATATGCTCACAGTCCCTTTCATTCAAACCAGTGTTCATTACCTTCCTACTAAAATGTTAGTTGTCTCAGATTAAAAAGATGGCAATAAAATAAAAAATCATACTTTGTAGGCTAATTGTTTTATAACTGAAATACAATTAAAAGGCTGAAAGGCACTATACCTTAACCTCAAAGTGTTCTCAATTTTCATTCTTTAATGGCAAGATATACTCAAATGTTAATTTGGCAACAGTACCTAAGGTGTATTTTCATTTAAAGTTCTTTTCTCTCCAGGAACACCACCAAACCAGTCCATCCTCTTTCTATTTTATTTCTCTTGAAAATCAGAGCTTTATTTTTAGCTGACATTTGAGGTTAGTCATTCATTTGCCAGTACTCATTTAGTATCTGATGTCTGTGTTGTCACACTATTAGTTGATATTTTTAGTTGCATCACTTAAAGTATGGTTTTTTATTTCATACATCAGAGTCAACCTGTGTGTACGTTAAAGGATTATTCATTACATTCTGATGCCACGAAGGAAACCATGGTTTGTATCTTAGACTTAACTGAAACCAGTTAGACCTTGATATTTCACTGTCAGATTAAATTTCTTTGCCTGAAAATGATAAGTTTGAGAAGCTTCTTTGTTGGTGGACTTTTGAATCAGATTTGCAGTGAAGTATGTATTCAGGGTGTCAAGGCACTAAGTGCTGTGCCTACTGCCTGTCATGTTTATAGGGCACTGGATGTATATACTGTAAAGCAGCAGTTCTCAAACCTGCTGGTCTCAACACTTTGGCTTATGTGGGTTATATCTATCAATGTTATATTAGAAATTAAAACAGTTAAAAAATATTCATTTAATAACAATAAGCATATTTCACATTAACATAAACAACATTTTTATGAAAAAATAGCTGTTTTACAAAACACAAAAAGAATTAGTGAGAAAAGTAGCATTGTTTTTTCCGTTTTTGCAAATGTCATTAATGTCTGACTTAAAGAAGACAGATGGATTCTCGTATCTGCTTCTACATTCAATCTGTTGCAGTATCACACATCATATAGCCACAGAAAATGCCAGTGTACTCTCCTGAGCAAGTGAAAATAGCAAATAACTTCTTGGTGTGAATATGAAAATAGTTTGAACCTTACAGACTCCCTGAAAGTGTCTCAGAGACCCTCCAGGGGTCCCCAGAACCATAGTTTGAGAACCAGTGCTGTAAAACAATGGTTTGCAGTAGTTCTCAAGCCCAGGGGAAGAGTCACGTGGGAAGCTTTTCAAAAATCCTCTGCCTGCCACCTACCACACACGTTCTGATTCATTATCTTTGGGATGAGTCCTACATCTCTGCATTTTTAATCTTAAGTGATTCTTAAGTATGTGGTCAAAGAACTACTCTTTGGGAAATTTTGCACTAAGCTTCCACCTTAACAAAGCCTGCATCCTTCACCATGGGCAGTAAAGATTTTCCACTGAAATGAGGCTGCTAGACCTCTAAGTTTTGATTCTCATCCCCTGCAGTTTGCTCTTAGAGAAGTTGTTCCCCTTTAACCCAGAACTAATGACATAAACCTGTTTTATCTCCTATCACAGAGACAAGGCTGGGAACGTTTAAATGAAGTTTTTATTAAAGGCTCAGGAATAGCAAAAGGGAAATATACATACAACTAGATGACCTGGCTTATAGAGCTGTATCTTGTGTTCACAGTCCATTTTAAGAATGCTTCTTTTCCTAGCTTCCAGCCTTCCGTGTGGCAGGTCCATCTTTTTATTGGGAAGGGAGGGAGGACAAAGGAGAGCCTTTCCCTTTTGTGCTTTTCCCTGAGAAATGAACAGGTACATAATAGAAAATAAGTATTTATTGTCAGCAATGTTTACAGCAATGTTAGAGCACTACCTAGAGTGAAACACAAATTATTGTATTCTTTTTAAAAAGGGTAAAATCAGTGAACGTCCAAATATAGAAAATAACATGATGATTGTTAATATATGCACAAGAATCTTTAAAGTGTTTCATAGAGGCCTGTATTATAAAGCGTTTTATAATTTTCATTTACATTATTATAATCAAAATATGATTCACCATGTATATCTATATAGGGACCTCTCATTGGGAATGTTCCATGTGTGCATATAGAAAAGCCTCCTTTGTGGATTTTCCTGTTACCCACAGTGTAATCAGAAGATACATTGGAGATTTTCTTGTGTGTACAGGTAGAATACACCCAGTGAGGGGTCTCACTAGAGAAGAACCTGTCATCAGCAATAATCCTCATTTTGAAACTGTGAATAATATTCTAAATATTATAATAATGTGAATAATATTCTGAAAAGTTTTTTAAAGTTAGAATCATTCATTAAAGCTTTTTGCCTGAAAGTTAAAAAGTTGTAAACCTAGGGAAAAAAAAATATACATATTTGTTAATTAAATGTGTAGAATACTCAAATAGGCTGACTTTGGAAAACAAACTGAAAACGTCCTTCCAAGGGAAGGAAGACTTGAAGATAAGATTTTAGATGTGGATTACCATTTGACCTAAACAGTTGTTTCCAAACTGTCATCTGTTTCCTGAAAACTGTTGCTAAGGCTAATATACAGAAATGCAGATTCCAGTTTACTGGTTAAATTACTATGCATTTATCCAGATTAGAAAAATGATCTTATTTATGTTATATACTTCTCATTCAATATGCTTTTCATTACTTTTCAGTGTGTTGAAAATATGTGTGCATTGATTTCAGTGCCTTAAAGTCTTTTGAAAGCAATCTTTTGCTAATGGTTAAAGATCTGTTTTCTTAAGGGTGTAATACTGTTCATTAAAAGGATCTGTGAAATAATATACACGTGTTTGTTATAAGATACCTACGTAAAGTGGCATTTGTCATTTTTACTTGGCAGTCATTCAGTTTGAGAATCAACAGACATTTATTAGGTGCCTTCTGTGTGTCTTCGTGGCATAGTGGTTAAGAGCTCGGCTGCTAACCAAAAGGTCGGCAGTTGGAATCCACCAGCTGCTCCTTGGAAACTCTATGGGGCAGTTCTACTCCATCCTATAGGGTCGCTATGAGTCAGAATCGACTTGATGGCAATGGGGTGGGGTGGGTTCTGTGTGTCAGATACTTTAACCAATGTTACTTTCATTAAATACTCAGAAATGTACAAATAGTATTTTTAATAGTACCTTAATGATTCTATTTATTTTTTAAACCATTCTTGGTGTCCTGAGTTGGACTAACATGACGACTCCTGGTAGGGTTTACTTCTTTGTTCTTTCCCTTTTTAAGTACAAACCATTTAATTAAAAAATTGCTGATCATACCAAATCCTCAGACAACAGTGGCTCATTTAGTAGAGATGAATATTTGAATCTTTGTTATTTGTTTTAAATGTTTTTTTTGTACAAGTAATTCATATTCATTTTAGAAAATTATAAAATATATGCTAAAATGTTTTTTAAATTACCTATTCCACCATCAAAGATAAGCCCTGTTAACATTTTGGTGTACATCCTTTCAGGTTCTTTTAGTGTCTCAGTCTTTAGTTTTGTTTTAATCAAAAGACAGCCTTCTTGGTTATAGTAATACTATTTCATCTAGTGAGATTTAACTTATTTGTCTTTTCTTATTAGAAATTAAATTAGGAACGTAACATCATTATACTAAAATAATAACTGTTAGGAACAAATTCTTTTTATTTTAATTACCTTTCTGCGCAAAAAAAAAAAAAAAAAAATTTTTTTTAACCTGCTTTTCAGTACTAAAGATGCAGTAGTATACACAACAAACTGCAAGTATTGGGAATGAACTGTTTACAAGCCTGCTAAAAGTACATATAAAAGGATGTATATAAAAGTAGATTGTCCAAAGAAATTTAGCTTGAATTTATGTTTAGTTTCTAAGGAATTAAATATTTAGCATATGCATTATCTAAATTATCCTTCCACTATTAATGGGGCTGCAATCAAGGAAGCATTTTGTAGATCAAGGAATTGCATAGAAAATGGAATGACTTCCCTTAAACTGGAGAGTGCATCCATTAGAAGATTCAATTGTGACAAAAAATCCAAAGTAACAGTGGCTTACAAAATAAAATTTTATTTATTTCCCACACAAAAGTCCAGAGGGAAGCAGTTCAGGACTGGTAGTTCAGTTTCATGAAATCATCAGACTCCTGTATAGTTGATCTGCCTGTCTCAGACAAGTTAACTGTGGGCCAAGATAGTGATGGCTTCACTTTCAGTGCTTCAGCAGGAAGAAGCACACTCCTTTCCTTTTCTTTTTTTAAACAGCTTTCTTGGGATGTAATTCACATACCATACCATTCACCCACTTAAAGTATACATCTCAGTGGTTTTTAATATATTCACAGGGTTGTGCAACCTATTACAATCTAGTTTTAGAATATTTTTGTTCTTTCTAAAAAATAAAAAAAAATATATACCCATTAGCAGTCATTGCCCACCCGTATACTCAGTCCTGTTATTGTTGGTTGCTATGGAGTTGATTCTGACTCTTGGACCCCATGTATGCCAAGTAGAACAGCTCCATAGGGTTTTCAAGGCTGTTACCTTTCAGAAGCAGATTGCCAGACCTGTCTTCCAAGGTGTCTCTGGGTGAGTTCAAACCACCAGCCTTTTGGCTAATAAAGCACTTAATTGTTTGCACCATCCAGGGACTCCTCCCTCGGTCCTAGGTAACCACAGATCTACATTTTGTCTTTATAGATACATGTACTGTGGACATTTATAAATGGAATCATACAATATGTGGTCTTATATGACTGGCTTCTTTCAATTATACTGTTTTCAGGGTTCACCCATGTTGTAGCATGTATTAGTACCTCATTCCTTTTTATCATTCAATGGATATAACATTTTGTTTATCTGTTCATCAGTTGATGGGCATGCGGGTTGGTTCCACCTTTTGGGTATTATGCAGTTATTTATAATAGTGGAAAAAACTATCTTAAAAAGCTACAGGTTTTTGGGTGGACATTATTTTCATTTCTCTTGGGTAGATACCTAGGAGTGGAATTGCTAGGTCATATAGTAACTCCATATTTAACTTTCTGAGGAACTGCCAAACTGTTTTCCAAACCTGCTGTACTATTTTACATTCCTACCAACAGTGTATGAGAGTTCTGATTTCTCTACATCCTCCCCAAAACCTGTTGTCTTTTTTCTTACAGCCATCCTAGTGGGTGTGAGGTGGTATTGTGGTTTTGATTTGCATTTCCCTAATAACTAATGACATTGGGCATTTTCTCATGTGTTTGTTGTCCATTTCTATATCTTCTTTAGAGAATGTCTATTCACATCCTTTGACCATTTTTAAATTGGATTATTTGTCTTTTTGTTGTAGAGTTGTGAGAGTTCTTTATATATTCTGGATACAAGTCCCTTGTCAGAGATAGAATTTGCAAATGTTTTTGCCCATTCTGTAGGGTTGTCTTTTCACTTTCTTCATGGTGTCTTGTAAAGCACCAAGTTTTTCATCTTGGTGAAATTGAATATGTTTTCTTTTATCACTTGTGCTTGTGCTGCCCTGTCTTTAAGAAACCATTGTCTAACCAGAGGTTACAAAGATTTGTTCCTGTGTTTTCTTCTAAGAGTTTTATAGTTTTAGCTCTTGGTCTGTGATACATTTTGAAATAATTTTTGTATATGCTATGACCCCCTTCTCTTTTATGACCTTTCTGAAAAATTGCACACACCATTTCTGCTTGCCTTCGGCTTTCGTTCAGTGGCCAGAACTTAGTTGCATGGCCATACCCACCTGTGTGTGAGGTTGGAGAATGTCTGTTTCAGGCATCCAGTATCTAAGTTACCAGCTTGAAAGCTTGTTCAGCCAGAATCCTAGTCTGTGAACAAGTCGATTCTGTTGTTTCGTTTTAATAATAAATTTATTTTCCGAATTTCATCCACGTAGATCTAGCAGGAGGGTTTAACGCAAACCGCAGGCACCTGTAGCCCTAGCCTTTCTGCAGCCCGCCCACTCCCTCGGTGACCTACCCAAGGAAAATGGTCTCGAGGGACTTGCTGGCCTTTTCCCGCCCCAGCGAATTTGGGCTCTTGGCGTTTTTCCCTTTGCGGAAACGAAACTGTGCGCTTCGCGGTTCTCGATATCCCCCGCCCGTAACCCTCGGACCGGGACGCAAGGGGAAGCGCCTCTGGCTCCTAGGCTCCCCGGCCACCCCCTGCGCGCACCACACCCCCTCGGCCGCGAGCCATCCCAGTCCCCGAGGGCTGAGGCGCTGGCGGGGCCGGGAAGTGAGTTCCCCTGCGGTGGTGCGATAACACCAGAGAGTGACAGCCGCAGTCGGATCTGTCGTGTGCCATGGCCGTGGCCTCCGAAGGGACCTCAGCGCTGGCAGTGGAGGCGCCGCCGCCGCATCCCGAATCGCACACTTTGGAGCCCAGCTCGGTGAGCGCAAAGCGAGGGGCAAGAGACCGGGATCTTAGCAAGGCAAGAGAAGGGGCTCTGGGCTCCAGCGCGCAGATGCCTGGTGAGAGGATCCTACCGCGCCCGGAGATGTTGGGGCATCTGGTCGCAGCTCCTTTAACTCAGCTAGGGTCAGCCTTGTGGGAGCTCGGCCCAAGCCTTCAGTCTTCTAAACTGCCCTTAGTGGGATTTGACAGGCTGAAGATATTCAGGAATCCTACAGTACCTCTTTAGTCATCTCAACTCCAGGCAGAGGGTTGGGAAACTGAGTCCTAAGCAAGTGAAGTAACTTGCTGGATTCATTCAGTTAGGTGGAACCAGTGACAGTCCCTGGTCTCCTGATACCCATTCCAGGGCTCTTGTCCACTCCAGGTCCTCCTGGACAGTCTTTTGAGCCCTGGGGTGTAGGGCTTTCCATTGTGAGTGAGGAGGCTGCCTTCCCTCCCCGATCTCCAGGCAGGTGGTGTGGGCTTAGCCTCCCTCTCAAACCCTGACTTAACCCAGGCATCAGGCTTTTTCCAAAAGGACACTTCCCTAGGCTCCAGGGTGAGGATGGTGGGTAGGTGGGAACCCAGGGATGTCTTCAGTCTTTTGGCGTCCTCTGTATGGGTGGAGCTGGGATTCGTTCGGAAAGGATGGCTGCACTGGAGAGAACTTAGGAACTCTGGGCTTTCTGTGTCAGGCTGAATGCTACATCCTCTCCCTGCTCTGTGGCCAAGGCATTCTCTATGGGGCTTTACTTGACCACCACCTCCATTCCCCATCTTGCTTATTCTCAGACACCTCAGAGCAAAGAGCTGTGGCTCCCAAGAAAGAAATGAGATGACGCCCTTGGGAAAACTCATTTCCCATTGAAACTTAGGAATTCGGGTGAGGTTAATGGCAACAGGGAAAAAACATTGCCAATGAAGTGCCAGCATTTAACTTTCATGACAACCCTATGAAATATATATTATTCCCATTTTACAGGTGAGGAAACAAGTTCAGTGAGATTAAGTAACTTGTCCTAGGTCACATAGCTAGAGATGGCAGAAATACGATTTGAAAACAAGTTCAGCTGACTCTATAACTTGTACTGAGTCCTCTGTGAAGGGCTTATGATTAGGAAGATAAAATTGTCAAAACTCTTAAAATTATATCCCTAGTTTCATTTGGAATTTCTTTTTCTGTCCTTTGAATGCCTTCTATGTGCCAGAAACTTGCTAGACACATTTAGGGAGAAACAAGAGTCTTATTATGGGAGAGGCGAAGGCTGCCATGTTGGATTCTTCCTGTTCTTAAAGTTTTCTGGGAGTTGAAATAATGTTCATACAAATTTCAGAAAAGGAGACCACATTCTGCCTTGAGTGTGGGTTTCTCCTGTGAGTAGGAGAGCATGCAGAGGATGTGATAAACCCTTATCTGGGAAGACCTTCCCTTCAAAAGAGCCTAGTGGGGCCTCCTTCAAGATAGTAAAATGGGTGAAGCCATAGTCTTCTCCACTCTCCCTTGCACCCCCAAGCATAGGATAAGAAAGAAGAATTCCCATCATCTTTTGAAGAAATATCACTACACCTTGTCTTCTTGGCCATTTATTCTTCAACAAATACATATTGAGCACCTACTGTATGCCAAACATTGTTCTAACAACTGGAGACACCATGGTGAATAAAACAGTTATGGTTCATGCTCTCAGAGAGCTTATATTCTGTTGGGGAGAGGCAGGAAATAAGATATATCAGGCAGCAAGTTTGATGAGAGACATCTGGGTGGTCAGGGAAGGCCTCTTTGAGGAGGTGGCATTTAAGCTGAGACCTAAATGAAAAGGAGTCAGTTATGCGAAGATCTAGAGGAAGATGGCAGAAGGACCGGGAAGTGCAAAGGCCTTGAGGGAGCAACAGGCTGAGTTTGAGGGATAGGAATAAGGTCACCATGGCTGGAGAAGAGCTATCTAAGTGAGGTGGGAAAGGGGTGGGAGCTGGTCAGCAGGCTTCAGTAGGCTTTACTGAAACTGTAATGGCAAGCTGTTTGAGAGTTTTAAGCAGAGAGAAGACATGGTCTGATTTACGATTATTTAAAGATCACTTGGCTGCCGGGCAGAGAGTGGATTGTAGACAATGAGAGCAGAAGCAACGAAGCCACTTAGGAGGCTCTCACTGTGGGAAAGGATCAAGGATGATTCAGGGGCCCGAGCCACTGGGTGGACAGTGGGGCCATTTAATGCAGTAGGAACAACTGGATTAGGAATTGGTTTAGACAGTGGGATGGGAAATCAGGAGCTGTGTTTTGACCATGTTTAGCTGAGATGCCTGTCAGACATCCATGGGAGGCTGTGAGTAGGTAGTTGAATATTCGAGTCTGGCATTCGCTGGATAGCTTGGGGCTAGTGATATACAGTTGAGGGTCATAGCATTCCTTCTTTTCAGTGATGACCTGGTAGATGGGGAGAGGGGGCGCAGGAAGGAGAAGGATATGTTCTGATTTGTAATGTTTGCTGATTCCATGGTATAAATACTTTTACCATGGGTGATTACAACTGCCAGTGGTTTAACAACTGGCTTGCAAAATTCTTGAACATTTAACAATCAGCTCTCAGAGCCACTGCCTCATTTGCTCATCAAAACAACTCCGTGAAGTTGGCAGGGATGTTCCATTTGAAAGATGAGGAAAGCAAGGCTTAGAGAAAGTGACTTCTTCAAGGTCACAGAGGGAACAGGGTGGCAAAGAAAGGGGTCAAGCCCAGGTCTCCTGACTTCTACTTCACTCTCACATCGAGGGGGGAATGTAAGGAAGAACTTCCCCCAGTAATGTTTACGAGGTCATGGTTTAGGATTTTTTTTTTTCCTGTCTCACTTCCCTTTAGGTTAAGTTGGGGCAAATCAGGGCTGAGAGGTTGCTGGAATTTTCCCATCGGGACCTCAGGATGCTTATGGACGTCACAGGGGCTTGGGGAGCTGCTGTGTGTCTCTGGGGTTGGGGCTTAGCTCCAGTATCTCCCCCAGGACAGCAGAGCCGGTCGCCTCTCATTCTGTACGAAGTTGTGCTATGGCATTGGCGGGATCCCCAACCAGGTGGCCTCCAGTGCCACAGCCTTCTACCTGCAGGTCTTCCTGCTTGATGTGGCACAGGTAAGTAAGGGCACCAGCCCAGGGCCACCTGCTCCCACCTGCCTTCCACCCCCTCCCTGTCTGGTTCTTCCACCTCCATCAGCTCTCCTTGGTAGACAGCATTTCTGACCCAAGGCTGACAGAAAGCCAAATGCTACTGAAGGCAACCTCCTTAAGGATGTTTATTGCAGCCTTGTTTGTAGTGGGAAGATGGAAAACAGTGTGAATACCCTACAACACAGAAGCAATTGAATAAGTTGTGCTATATCCACATAGGGATCCCTGGCGGCACAGTGGTTAAATGCTTGGCTGCTAACTGAAGGGTTGGTCGTTTGAACTAACCAGCAGCTCCTCAGGAGAAAGATGTGGCAGACTGCTTCCGTGAAGATTACAGCCATGGAAACCCCATAGGGCAGTTCTACTGTGTCCTATAGGGTCACTCTGAGTTGGAATTGACAGAAATGTTTTTTTTTTTTCTTTTTTATATCTATGTAATGGACTATTTAGGCAGCCATTCAAAAGAGTTAGCTCTATACCTGCTCCATGATGCATTGTCAAGTGACAAAAGCTAGTTTTAGAGAAGAGTATATAAAATGATCCCATTTTAACAAAACAAAGGTATGCCCCATATTTGTGTGTGCATGTGTATATGTATGTATATATCTGTACATCATTAAAATATAAGCATGGAGAAAATTATGGAAGAATACACACCAGGCTGTTAATATTGGCTATAGGAGGGAATGGTGGGGAGCAGAGGAGAAGCAAAAAAAAAGGTTTTTTTAATAAGATCCATGATTTTCAAAAAATGACACTGATACGACCCCATTTATGTAAAATTGTAAATTAGAAATGCATGAAAGGATGATTAAAATGCTTCCGGCAGTTGTCTCAGGAAGGTGAGATTCAGATGAGCTTTGCTTAATATTTTTCTGTACTGTTTAAATGTTTTTTATAATGAGTGTATTTATGTAACTAGAAAAGTCAATAAAACATTTTCACTGTGAAACAAAAAGTCTGTCTCTGACTGTCAGCCTAGATATACCCTTCTTGCTCTGAGCCACCCCATGGGCTTCTGATGAGGGCCCCCCACATCCTCTCCAAAGGTGACAGGGCCTGAGGAATAACGGAAATGTGCAGCCGTCAGCTCCCTCCCCACTCTTTCACTAGTTCATGTTACAACCTTCTGGATTAGTGTCCTGGCAAGGAGGCCTGGTGGCCCTATATACGGTGACTCTGCCAGGTCTCCCAGCAGGCAGGAAAGCCACCCTCTCCTACTCTGCCGGGCCTTCTCTATCCCCTCCCTGGTCCATTTCAGATCCCTGCTGCCCAGGCATCATTTGTCCTGTTTGGAGGGAAGGTGTCTGGGGCAGCTGCTGACCCTGTGGCTGGGTTCTTCATCAACAGAAGCAGAAGGACAGGGTCTGGACGACTCATGCCCTGGTGAGCAGCCCCACAGTCCTCGGGATCCAGTTACCCACCCCTGGCTCTGAGGTCACTGCATTTGTCACAGCCTTGTTTCTTGGTAGAAAACCCCATGGATTGTTAGAGGATAAGACTGGACTGTAGGTGACTGGGACTGGACTGGGACCAGACTGCAAGCTTTTCAGTTCAGAGACATTCTTAGGGACCCTCCCTCATCAGACAGCACAGGGCTGGGCAGAGCCTCTCATTATGGACAGGTTGGCCGGGAGGCCATGGAGGGTCTCACAGAGGAGCTGCAACTCATTTGTCCTTCCGTGTCCTCAATAGAGGGAATGGCACACTGAGGACACAGGCCCGAGTCCAGCAGTGAATGGCCCTCTCTGCCTGCCACTCCCACATCTGATCAGCCACCCAGACCTAGCCCTCACTTCTCTCCCTTTCCCTGACTCCCACTCTGAGAGCCCAGCCCAGAGCTTCTCCAAGGGCAGAGGGTGCCCAGAAGGGGTGAGGGTGTTCCAGGCCAGGTTCTTGGCATCCCCTCTGTCCTTGTGCTGAGGGGCGCTCCTCACCCCTGTGCTTCCATAGGTTGCTGGGATGCTCACCCTTCATCGCTGTAGCCTACTTCTTCCTATGGTTCCTGCACCCCTTCACCAGGCTTCGGGGAGTCTGGTACATGACCTTCTACTGCCTGTTCCAGGCCCTGGCCACGGTGAGTGGGTGCCCCCCGTCTTAGTTATCTAGTGCTGCTATAAATGAAATAACACAGGTGGGTGGCTTTAACAGAAATTTATTTTCTCACAGTTTAGGAGGCTAGAAGTCCGAATTCAGGGTCCCGGCTCTAGGGGAAGGCTTTCTCCCTGTCAGCTCTGGAGGAAGGTCCTTGTCTCTTCAGCTTCTGCTTCCTGGTTCCTTGGAGATCGCCATGTGTCTTGGCATCTATCTTACTCCATCTCTCTTCTGCTCGCTTGTTTAATCTCTTTTATATCTCAAAAGATATTTACTCAAGATACACCCTACACAAATCCTGCCTCATTAACATAAAGACAACCTATTTCCAAATGGGATTATAACCACAGGCATACAGATTAGAATTTACAACATGTACTTTGGGGGACATAATTCAATCTATAACACCCCCATAGGCCTGGACTCTGGTGAACCCCATTGCTGGCCAGTGGCTACTCTAAAGTGGGGATGGGTACGTGGCTAGCTGGGACTCACTGCCCTCACCTTGCACATCAATGACAGGAAAACTGCCGTTAGCTCCATTGCATCCTGTTCTGGACTGGGTGTTCCCTCCTGCCTTTCAGCCCCTAGTGGTGGGGTGCCAGGATGGACAGGGCGGCTAGAGCCTCAGCCTCCTGAAGCTGGGGCAGCCTGGGTTGGGGGGCCTGGGCGGTGGGGCCATCCCGAGCGCTGCCCGCACGCCTCAGTTCTTCCAGGTGCCCTACACGGCGCTCACCATGCTCCTGACCTCCAACCCGAGGGAGCGGGACTCGGCCACCGCGTACCGTGAGTGCAGGCTGAGGGGGAGGGGGGATGACGCTGTCATCCTGGGACAGGAGCCTCGGGACCCTGTGGGTGGATGTGGCACTCGTTCACTTTGCACGGCTGCTGTGTCCCCAGGGATAACCATGGAAATGGCGGGGACCCTGATGGGAGCCACCGTCCACGGACTCATCGTGTCTGGCGCCCATGAGCCCCACAGGTGCGAAGACGCCAGGCTCCCCTTGCCGGACGGCGTCTCCCCCGACGCGGTGAGTGCCCGGGCGGCCGGACCCCGCCGTGATCGCCTCTCCCGGCAGCCTCTTTCCTCTCGGGCCTCTTCCTCCTCTTTTGCGGGGCTCAGCTCTGCACACCGCGCGTTCTCATTCCTTTTCTGCGCCTCTCGCTGAGCGGATGACCCCCCAAGTCCAGGACAACCCATAGTGCTCCTGCCAAACCTCCTGCTGGATTCCTTCTCAACACAAAATAGATTGGCGGGTAGTCCCCAGAAAAGGGACAGAGGGTGGGGAAGGGGTGGGTTGTGGCCCTGGCCATAGGCGTGGCTGGAAGGGGCCTGCAAGGGTCGGGGAAGAGAGGGCAGCAGGATGGTCTGCCGTCTGTCTGGGCAGAGGCCTGGGTGAAGCCCCTCCTAGCACCCATCCCTCCAGCCCCAGTGTGAAGTGACAAGGGGAAGGGGGCAGCAGCATGTCGTGCCCTCCCCTCAAACCGGGTCCCTCATCAGCAGTTAGAGGGCACACTTCTATTTTACCCATCAAGGTCGTTGATTTTTCTATTTGTTCCTCTCCTTTTTTATTAAGCAAATGGCATCAACGTCCTCCAGACACCTAGGAATCATCTTTTACCCCTCTCTCTTTCTCAACCCTCCACTCCACCCTATTACCAAGTTCTGTCTGTTCCTTAGATCCAGTTCTTCTAGAATCTGTTCACTGCTCTGCCTCCCACTGCCATACTCTGGCCTATACCACAATCTCCCTCTTCCCCCCAACTTCTGCATCAGCCTCCTACAACAGTCTCCCTGCCTCCAGCCATTCCCGCCCCCAGCACAGTCAGGGTAACATTTTAAAGGGCACACTGGACCTTGTCTTTCCCTTTGCTAAAAGCCATATGGAGGGGCCTCTCCTTGAGACACATTTCACATGGCCTGGAGCACTCATTCTGTGGAATCTGGCCCCACATTCCTCTCCAGCCACATCTTAGGACTTTTCTACATTCTGGTTCCCACTGGTTCACAAGCCCAGGCCTTTACTTGAACACAGACCCCGGAACTGGGTGGCCCTCACCTTCAGGACTTATAAGCCGCCTCTCCCCAGGTTTGACTGTGGGGCCTCTACCCTTCTGTGTAGGCATTTGTGTCCGTTTTTTAATTAATAAATATTTCAGATTTACAAAAAGGTAGATAGCTATGGTTCTCAAAGTGTGCCTGGACCAGCAGCATTAGCATCACCTGGGAACCTGTTGAAGGAGCCCTGGTGGCTCAGTGGTTAAAGTGATCAACTGCTAACTGAAAGGTCCGGTGGTTGGAAACCACCAGAAGCTCTGAGGGAGAAAGATGTGGCAGCCCGCATCTATAGAGATTTACACCCCTGTGGGGTCACTATGAGTTGGAATCGACTCGATAGCAGTGGGTTTGGGTTTTGGTTTGAGAACTTGTTTAGAAAGGTAAATTCTTGGGCCCCAGACCTACTGATTCAGTAATTCTGGGGATGGACTGCACAGTAATCTGTTTTAATGAGATCTCCAGGGGGTTCTGATACCTGCCACGGTTTGGGAATCAATGGTATGAGAACAACACCACAAACACCCATGTGCCCTACCATCCGTTTAAGAAAACATGACAATTTAAGCCCCCGTGTATGCATCCCCAAACCCATCTCCAGGGCCAGCTACATGGTTTGTGGAATCTAGTGCAAAGTGAAAATGCAGGGCCCTAGCTGAGAGTGGGGAAGTGAACTCCCCTGCCCACAGGCCCTACTGCCCCAACCAAGGGATTACAATCTCCCAGCGCCGGGACACACTGAGCACCTGGATCGGATGTGGCTGAGCATCCCCCATACCTCAGGCACCCTCCGAGCAGCGCCATGGCACTGCCGGCCTGGTGTGGAAAGGCTGCCGCCATGCCCCTCCCTGACGGACTTTCCTGCACCCACATCCTGGCCCCTACTTGAGGGAGATGACTACCTAACGCAGGCCTGTCCATGATCACCCACCCTACTGGTGACAGTGTAGGGGTGGGGCCAGGTGGAGGAGGCCGGTGGGGGTGCTGGGGTGCGAAGGACTGGAGAGCAGAAGGTTGGGAACCCATTCTGGGCAGATGGGCTTCCTGTGAGCTGAGGCCCTTGGTAGTGCATGCTGCACTGTCCACGGACTTCACTTACAAAACACAAATTCCGTGATGAAATTACTGGGAATTTGAAGACAATGACAGCACAGCATTAAGCGCAGGGCCCCTCTGAGCACAGGCTCTGTGTCATCTCCCTTTCTTCCCCCTCCCTTCCCCCAGATAACCTCTATCCAGCGTTGGGCGGCTGTCGTTCCCATGCATTCTTTACATGCATTTTTTATGACATACGTATCTTCCCCTAAATGACAGGTAGCATGGTTTCTCTTTTCTGTACTCATCTGGGCCATCATGCCTCACGCTGTGCTGTAAAACTGTGTGCTTATGGATCTGTCTTCCCATCGCACTTGAGCCCCTTATTGTGGGTAGACAAGTTACTTATCAGTATAACCGCAGGGTTTAGCATGCACAAGTCAGCAGCAATAAATGTTTGCTTAAAAAAACCAGAGAAAGAACAAGTGCGCCAGCCCTGAGCCCCACAGGCATTGATGCTCCCTTCCCATGGAGAAGGCACAAGGTCTGCAGAAAGACACGTGTGGATGAGTCATTCAGAGCCCTTCGATGTTGGTGTGATTGGGAGGAGGGGGACTGAGGGCCACTCTGCTCCCATTGGGAGTGGCTCCTGCCCTGCCCCGCATGTCCCTGCTCCCATGGGTTGGAGACATTACACCCACCCCAGTTCTGTCCTGCCCCACAGATACATCTCTACTCCATTGCAGCTGCCGTGGTTGCTGTGACTTACCCGGTGTGCACTGGCCTACTCTGCCTGGGGGTGAAGGAGCGGCCGGGTAGGGAGGAAGGAGGAAGGATGTGGGAACAGAAGCTGGGGAGAGGGCTCCTCTTGGGGGTGGGTTTTAGTTTCGAACTCTGCCAAGCCAAGGTGTTCCCTTTCTGTGTTGCAGACCGCTCAGCCCCAGCCTCAGGCCAAGGCCTGAGCTTCCTGGCTGGGCTGGGCCTCACTGTCCGGCACCCGCCCTACCTGAAGTTGGTGGTCTCCTTCCTGTTCATCTCAGCTGCTGTCCAGGTACCTCTGGCCAGGTTGATCCACGCTGGCTTGGCCCTGGCCATACTGACCCTGTGCAGGTTCTGTGTTCAGAGTTAGGTACCAGAGTAGGCTTGAGTTTTAATGGGAAAAAACCCATGGCTGGCTGGCACCATGGCCCAGAGAGCCTGGGGCTGGGAGGAGAGAGACCAAGGCAGGGCTTGTGGGATAGGGGAGGGTGGCAGCCAGGCACTAGGAACCTGGCAGAGTGTGGGGTAGTTTCCTGGAAGTTTAGTGAAGTCCACCGGATCCTACTTGTGCAAGTGGTGAGGATGGGATAGGAATGGTGTTGATATCTGTGCTGGGAGAAGCGCCCTCTGTGGGGAAGGGAACAGTGTGATGGTGGCAGCAAGCAGTGTGCAAGGTCCCAAAGGGGAGGCCAGACTTGTGATCCAGTGCTTGCCCAGAGCTTCTGCCATCCTGTGTACACGCCCACCCTGCCTGTCTCCCTCTTCAGGTGGAGCAGAGCTATCTGGTCCTGTTCTGTACGCACGCCTCCCGGCTACATGACCATGTCCCGAGGCTGGTGCTAACCATCTTGGTGAGGGGTCTGGGGTGGTGAGGCAAGATCATCTGGGGTCTTGCGTGGGGACATGTGTAGTCCTTGACACGGCACATGTGTGGCCAGAACGCAATGGTCAACATTCTTGACTCTGTTTTGGTCTTAGTCAACTGCATTCCTACAGAGAGTGGGACCAGGGCATAAAGTTGGGTCATAAAGTTCAAACTGCAGGTTCAAACCAGGGAGCAGGCCAGGGGCAAGGTCAGGGCCGGGAGTCCCCTCGAAAAGCCAGGGCACTGAGATTCTGGGCAGAGGTGTGGGTGGCTCATCCCTGGCAGTGATATTGCTGTCCATTCACAGGTATCAGCTGTGCTGAGCACCCCACTGTGGGAGTGGGTTCTACATCGATTTGGGAAGAAGACCTCGGCCTTTGGGATCTGTGTGAGTGGGGCAGGAAGGAAGGCTGGAGATGCCAGTAGGGGAGGACAAGGGAGGTGGTGTGGATCCTGAGCTTCCTGGGGCCAGGGAGCTGGGTCTGTGTTCCCTTGTGTCTTCAGTGCCTATGGCCAGGCACGAGGGGCCATTATAAAGACTGGTGAGTGTGGGAATGAAAACAGCAAGTCTGGGGACCAAGTGGAGGGATCAGCTAGTGTGTCTGTCTCCCCAGGTGATGGTGCCTTTTGCAATCTTGTTGGCTGCCGTGCCCATAGCACCTGTGGCCTACATCGTGGCCTTTGTGTCTGGCGTGAGCATTGCTGTGTCCTTGCTGCTACCCTGGTAGGCTGGGGGAGGGGAAAGGGTATGGGAGCTTCACGTCCTTCCACAATGGGAATTCCCTCCTTCATGTCAACCTGTTGTCCCAGGGCCCCCATGCCCAGCCTCTTAAAGGTGCACCAGCAGCAGGAGTGGTGGGCATATTGCCTGGCTCTCTGTGGGCCAGTCCTGGTCCTGGGCAGCAGGGACCTAGGGATGAAGCCAACTTGGTCTCAGTCCCCAGACAGCTCACAGACTGATGGGTGTTAAAGGGATAAAAGGGATAACTCTGCAGCCCTCTTTACCCCCAGGTCCATGCTGCCAGATGTGGTAGATGACTTCCAGTTGCAGCATCAGCATGGCCCAGGCCTGGAGACCATCTTCTACTCTTCCTATGTCTTCTTCACCAAGCTTTCAGGCGCAGGTGCTCTGGGCATCTCCACACTCAGTCTGGAGTGAGTCCCAGAGCAGGGGGTCACCAGAGGCATAAAGGACTAGTGGGGTGGGAAGAAGAGGGCAAAGCCCCCTCCAGCCAGCTACGGATCACCCGTGAGCCTGGGCCCAAGCTCTGTTCTGTGGAGATCTGGGGAACCACCACTCTCAGGTTTCTTTGTGCACATGACTGAGAGGCCTTTCTTGGGAGTTGTACCCACCTTCTGAAACCCCAGCCCCCACATTCTCAGTTCTCTCTCCCCTTGGCCAGGCCATTCCCTCAACCCTCTCTTCTACCACAGCTATGCTGTGTCCGAGTTTCAGGATATTGTGGGGGTGGGGGGTGCCTGGGACCCCTCCACTCAGGGAGCCAGGCTTGGCGAGAATCTGACTGGATGGATGGGTGGTGTTTCTCCAGGTTTGTGGGGTATAAGGCTGGAGCCTGTGAGCAGGCAGAGGAGGTGGTGGTGACCCTCAAGGTCCTCATTGGAGCCGTGCCCACCTGCATGATCCTCACTGGTCTGTGCATCCTCCTGGTCAGCCCCACTCTGAAGGTGCCAAGCCAGGATCCCTCCCGCCAGCTAAGCCTTCGGAGGTGGGCACCCTGCACATGGATACACACAGGGAGGGCCACCAACCCCCAGAGAGGCACACATAGATGCACACTGATGTGTGAATGACCAACATCTGCAGATCTCCCTGCATTATAGACACAGTCTATAGCTTCCGTGACACCACAGTCTCCTGGATTTTCTCCCACTACTCTGGTCATGCCTTCATAATCTTCTTGCTTTGACTGCCCGTTGGATGGCGGTATTCAAGGGCTCCCTCCTTAGTCCCCTATTCTTCTTGCTCTGCATAGCCCCTGTGTGGCCTCATCTACTTGTTTGACCTCAAGTCCCTCTTGTGTGCTGGCAACTCCTAAAGCTGCCCCTCCATCCTTGACTTCCTTCAAGTTCCAGATCCACATATCTAGCTCTCATTTGGACATTTCCACGGCAGTCCCACAAGCATGTCAATCTCAGTAAGTCCCAAACTGAACTCAACTTTTTCCCAAGTCGGCTCCTTCTCCTGTGTTCTCTCAGTGAATGGCACTACCATCCACCCTGGGAGCCAGAAGCCTGGGAGAGTCGGCTCCCACTCTGCCCTCCTGCAGGCTGTGCTGAGCAGCTCTCTGAGCTTTGTCCTCCCCCACCACAGTACTCATCTCATTGTGCGGGGATGATCCGCTCACTTGTCTGGCTTTCCCAGTAGACTGTAGAGACCTTGAAGGCTGGAGCTGTGTTTATCCATTTCTGTATCCTAAGAGGCAGAGCTGGCATTTGCAAGTCTGCATGTGTGTTTTGCAGATGTCCATACATTTACAAACACTTGGGCTCATGGACATGTACAGGACCACAAAGGGGAGGCAGTAATTGGCAGCATCGTCAATCCCTCACTTCTCAGTATTGGTGGCCCCAGGCTCTTCACCAGAGTAACACTGAAATCCTGCTTTACATCTCAAGGAAGGAAGGACAAGAGGATATGGGATTACTTGTTGGGTGTTGGAGAAACTAGGGTTGTAGTTTTATTAACAGGGACTGTCTTAGTCAGTCTGCAACAACAGAAATCCTACAAGTGAATAGCTTTAACAAAGAGAAATTTATTTCCTCACAGTAAAGTAGGCTAGAAGTCCAAATTCAGGGCGTCAGCTCCAGGGAAAGGCTTTCTCTCTCTGTTGGCCTTCTCATCAGTGTTCCCCTGGACTAGGAGCTTCTCCGCGCGGGGACCCCAGGTCCAAAGGATGCACTCTGCTCCTGGCACTGCTTTCTTGGTGGTATAAGGCCCCCCTGTCTCTCTGCTCACTTCTCTCTTTTATATCTCAAGAGATTGCCTCAGGACACAATCCAATCTTGTAGATGGAGTCCTGCCTTACTAACACAACTGCCACCCATCCTCCCTCATTAACATCATAGAGGCAGGATTTACAACATATAGGAAAATCACACAATACCAGGAATCATGGCACAGCCAGATTGATATATACATTTTTTGGGGAACATAATTCAATCCATGACAGGGACCATTAAGGGGAAGAGTTGCTGGGAAGACAAAGAAGGGTCACTGAAACTTCCATGGGCATCTGTGGCAGGACAGAGGCCATCCCGCCACACACCCCTCCTTCGCCTTGGTTTCTTTTCCTTCCTACAGGAGGACCAGCTACAGCCTTGCTTAAAGTCTGAGACTTCTGTGAGCTGGAAGAGCAAAAGCCAGCAGCATCTTCTGGGCCTGAAGTCTCCCTTTCTTCCTAGCCCTTTAGCACCCCTACCTAGCAGTGTAGCACACAACTTGTCTTTCCTCTGGGATATGGGGATGTCTCCGGCTGCTGGGATTGGCCTGGGCTCTAGGACCTCTCCCTGACAACTTCTTGCCTGTTGACCACAGACCATGCCAGACAGGCCCATGCCCCTGACTACCCCAGCTCCAGGCAACCCTTGACCCTGGACTGCAGACTCCCTATGGGGAGCACCAGGCCCTACAACCTGCTTAGATGGCAAAGCTCGCCTGACAGATGGCAGGTGTACAGACCTACTGGCCCTCCCAAGGTTCCAGTAGACATCTGCTAAAGACACAAAAAGAGACTGACGGACAGCACATGAATGGACAGAGTGGGGACAGATGATGGCATGCTGGGGTGTACAGTAAGAGAAACATAGGTACAGTGAGACCAAGAGGCCCGGAGAGACAGCAGTGGGGATGACAGAGCAGGGCACTGGAGGTATTTCTTGGGTCTTTCCTATTTTGCATATAAGTTGAGGACACTTTCTGTAAGTGGACAGATACTGATATGGACCACCAAAGGTCATTTTTTTTCTTTCCACCGAGGTTTATTTTTACAAAAGTAAATTAAAGGGCTTATCGCCTATAAATCCCTGTAATACTTAAATCACCTGGTGTGTCTACCTATCTATCTATATATATGTGTGTGGGCAGTGTGAATTTTTAGTAATTCAGCTGGTAAAATGTGGCTCTGCCCTCCCATCTCACTTCCTGGGAACCCTTGGTTACAAAGGGGAAGGGAGAGGTACCTGATGTTGAGCCTGTTTGTGTCCCCACAGCACAAATTCCTGACTGCATTTCCTCAGATCAAGTCAAGACTCAAGAGTGGCCTGGGATAGCAGGCCATGGGGGCTCCTGTGGGTTGGGGCCTGGGGAGGGTTGGGGAACTCGTGGGCCTAGGTATCCCAGCAACTTACGACTAGAGAAGCCTGGGCACCTAAAGAGTGGGGCCTGAGGGGTACAGACTTGCCCTCCCATGTCTCCTCAGGCCCCTTCCATGAGGTTGGCCAATGCTCCCAAGCCCCTGCCCAGGGCTAGGCGCCCCCTCCACCTCTCCTTTAGACCTATGGCTGCCTCTTCAGTGGCCAAACCCCCCCTGAGCCCCCCAGAGGCCTGGCCAAGGGGAGATGATGCCCTTGCCTCCTGGCTCTCTGCCTGACCAACAGGACACAGGCCCTGGGAGTGTCACACAAAGTGGAAACTACCAGGACAGGATGCATAGAACCCTACTGTCAGACAGCTGGGAGGAGGCATCTGGGCTGGTCCTGGAGTGAAGGGCGGGATCCAAGCAGGAGGAATTCACAGGAAGAGGGCCCAGCTTGAGCAAATGTACAGGAAAAGGTCTAGGATGGGAGTAAGGTGGTTTGGTTTGGCGGGGTGACTAAGAAGCAGCTCTCAGTGCGATAGGGCAATAGTTGTGGGGACTGGTCCACCACTTGCTAGGTAATTTTGTGGCCCATCTGGAGGCCATATCTAGGAAGGCATTCTCCTAGTTCTGCAGATGAGTCAGAGGGGCTGGACTTTCAGAGCCCAGTCTGCTGCTACAGTTCTATCCTCAGGCTCCCTGCGAGTGGCTACTCGTCTCTCAGATGGGATAGGACAGGAGACACTGGACTGCCAAAGCTGGGACCCCGGACCAGCACCTCTACCTAGGGCTTCCCTCCTTGGACTTGGCGTCTCAGCTCCACCACTTCCAGTTGCATCCCCTGAAACCATGAGTGCTTACTTGGTGCCAGTTGATATTTAGTCCCAAGGATACAGAAATGAAGAAGGTCCAACCTCTGTCTTTACAGAGATCATGGTATAGTGGGGAGGTCCACTTCTGGGGGTCAGGGGACAGATCCCAGAGGAAGGGAGTCATTGTGGGCTGAACAAATACCCTAAAGGCGTATTTTGTTTCTTCCTCACAGCAGTTCTGTGAAGTGGGTACTTTTATGCTCATATTCAGATGAAGAAACAGGCTAGAGAGATTAAGCAACTTGCCTAAGATCAGTTGGTAGTGGAAATGAGTCTTGAACCCAAGCCTGCCTGACTCCAAAGCTTGTGGAGATAGCCAGTGCTTACAAAATGTGCTGGAAGAATGGCCATCACCAGACCTCGGTATCACCAGAACCGCTCCTCCCCTGGAACCCAATGCCAGCACTCCTGACTGACTGCACGCTCTAGGTACACTATAGTTCCCATTACTCCTACTCTCCAATCCTTGGTTCACTGAGCTGCCCTTCATGCCCACATCCCTCTTCTGATGCCTGTCCTTCTGCTTCAGAAGAAGAGGATCTCTCCCTGCCACCAAGGCCAGTCCCTGGACTTATCCCTGGCAAAGAGCAGGCACCCCTCCCTTACCCCTTCCCTCTCCACTACCTCCTTCATCACTACTTAAATCCAGGAGGCTATTGTGCTGCTCACTTGCTTAAGACCCTCTCGGTCCCACCCATGCCTCTCATCCCACTCAGTCCCTATGATGGCCTCAAGACTTCACATGATCAGGTCAATGGCAAAATGTCACTTCCTCAGAGAGGTCTTTCCTGCTTCCCTGATCACCCCCTACCCCTAGCACTCTAATCGCTACCCTGCTTTTCTTGTACTTTATAGTACGTACCACTATAATAGCAGCCCTGACAGCCAGTGATTAAGTGCTTGGCTGCTAAGCGAAAGGTCGGCGATTCCGACCCATCAGTGAGGTACCATTTAAAATTACTAGACTGTCATAAAGTAACATGCACTGACCATGTACAACAATAGGTGCTATGATACACTGCTGGTGGGAGTGAAAACTGATATAACCATCTGGTATTATCTCATTATTGTGGCATTATAAAGTTGAACTTGCGCACACCCAAGACCCAGCAATTCCACTTCTAGGTAAAAGACCCTAGAGAGTCTTTTCAAACGCTTACATTAGGAGACATTTACAAGAGTATTCAACACAATATTGTTTATAATCACTAAAATAAAACCAGGGAACAATCCAAATGTCTATGGCAGGAAAATGGATAAACTGTGGTAACTATAAAACTTTGAAAGTAACATAAACATACCCAGGAGGCTGAATCTGAAACAATGTTGAATGGAAAAAAAAGCAAGTCACGGAAGACTATATATGATATACTATATACGATATAGTACCGTTTTTACATATAAAGCTCACCATATTGTTTAGCCTAGCACATATATGTGGTGAAACTTTTTTTTAAGAAGAGGAATGAAGAAATGATAATTAACAGCAATCAAGGGATTAGTTACCTCAGGGTTGGAGCTATGGAGATGGGATCAAAAAGGGGCACACAGGGAAACTGAGTGTTTCCAGTAGTGTTCTGGTTCTTGAGTTAGGTGGTGGGTGGTTCATTATATTATGAAGCCTTCCTATACCTTACATGGAGACCCTGGTGGCGTAGTGGTTAAAAGTTTGGCTGCTAACCAGAAGGTTGGCAGTTTGAATCCACTAGGCGCTCTTTGGAAACCCTATGGGGCAGTTCTACTCTGTCCTATAGGGTCGCCATGAGTCGGAATCAACTCGATGGCAATGGGTTTGGTTTGGTACACCTTATATGGAGCCCTGGTGGTGTAGTGGTTAAGAGCTACGGCTGCTAAACAACAGGTCAGAAGCTGGAATCCACCAGCCGCTCCTTGGAAACCTGATGTGATGGTTCTACTCTGTCCTATTGAGTCGCTATGAGTCAGAACTGACTCGATGGAAACAGGTTTGGTGTTTTCGGTTTTTATATCTTACGTGATTAAGGGTTTGGCTGCCAAAAGGTTGGCAGCTGGAATCCACCAGCCGCTCCTTGGAAACCCTATGGGGCAGTTCTACTCTGTCCTAGAGGATCGCTGTGAGTTGGAATCAACTTCGACGGCAACAGGTTTGTTTTGGGTTTGTACCTTATACATACTGTATGTATTAAATATTATCCACACAAAATTTAGAAAAATTTGGGTGCAAAATGGGATATGTAAATAATATCTTTCATTATACAACATATTTTCAATAAAACATTTAACAATTAACTTAGAGAATTTAGCCCTTCTCTCCATGTCTGCAAAGTCAGCAAACACTGGATTACTTTCTAGGGTTTCAATGACTATCATAGCAGGAGAGGCCAAGGAGACGTCTCTTGTATGAGAGTTGCCATGGAATCAGATTTGTTGTAATGAAACAGATAATTTATATTCTGAACTCTCTACCAGAACAACTACAAAGATAACATACATACACATAAAATCAGTAGCATTTCTCTATACCAGTAATCATCACAAAGAAAATACCACGAAAACATTCACAACAGCCACAACAAACATTAATGATTTTATTGAAGACTCGTCCATAAGAATTAGACCAGAGAAATGGTAGTTATAACACACATCTTGAGGACACACACTGACCTTACTCAAGGGTCCCCCACCCCCCTCTTAAGGCTTCACAATAGTTGTGACTTCATCTCACCCAGTCACTTCCTTCCCAAATGGAGCCAGGCCTCAGACTGTCCTCAGCCACTGCTCTGAGGCAGCTGATCACAGACAAGTGGCCTCCACTTCCATTATCCCAGCAGCTGTCTAATGCATTTGAACCACAAAATGGGCTCTCGCTTTTTTCCTATCCCTGCTCCATCTTCATAAACGGGAACAGACAGGAGTCCCCAAGGGTACAAAATATTTTCTTTCCGGATAATTTTAAAGGAAAGGGGGAAAAAAGATGTATATGTGCTAATGGAGCTTCTATGGCTGAAACAATTTATCTGCAGATGTGCTCTGATTGGCCACACACCAATCAATAATTTGTGCTGCCGTAATTGAAATTTATCATTCTGTTTGAGAGCAGTGAGCAGTGGTGTCTATCTGAAGGCAATCAGGGATCTCTCCACTATACTAGGCTAGCACTTTAGCGCTTAAGTAAACTGGTATGCATTAGAACTACCTCAGATTCAGTGAAATTTCCAACTTTGTGTTATACTTTCTCTCACAGACACTCTAAGACTTAAATGGAGGGAAAAGTAAAAATATCAAAATTAAAGTAACAAATAAGTTAACTAACAGAGTGACTACTGGGAGGAAATATGAAAATTTTATGATCCTCAAACTGAAAAGCATTTCAGGGAGAAACTCGTGAGTGACAACACAGAATCACGTCTTGGGCTTCGCCTGAGCTTGGTATTGCACTGGCAGCACCAGTACATGCCCATGTGGAGACCAGAGGAGTTGAAACACTTGACAAATTACTTAATGGACTTACAAAGTGAATGGAAGAAGCCCAAAGCTAAGTTTTAGATGTACCTGGTCCTTTGTCAGCCAGGGATTTTTAGGGAAGTAAGAGGGCTAGGTTTCAATCCTGGGAGGTCCAGGCAACACCAGAACTACCGCCTGACTCAGGCAGCCCTGGGAGCAGAAGCCAAGTGGTTTTTATCTTCCTATGAGCTCTGCTGATTCATGCTGGTTTGGGGGAAAAGGGTGTGCTGGAGCATACGCTCTCCTGCACTCCTTACCCTCATCTATAAGCCAAGGAGAAGACCTCTAAAAGTACCGAGACATCTTTTAAGTGCTCCTAAGATGGCCTAAACACAGCCTCAGAGAAACCATAACACACAATCCATATGGCACATGGCGTTGTTTTGTTCTGGGAACTGTGCCCTTAGACAAAACCACAATAGTCATAAATACATAAACAACCACTTTCTGAGTCATCTAACAGAGACTGAGCTCTGCTGCCACACAGCCCAGGGGAAAACCGGAAGAGCCAACCCTGGCAAGTGCTTCACTCTGAACAACAGTGAGAATCCCAGCTGCGACAGAATTCACGGTGGAAAAAGGACCTTGTTTTTAACGGTGTCATCTGAAAAGCTATACAGCAAATACTCTACAGACAAATATCATGCTGTGCTGCCTAAATGGTTAGAACAACCAGTGGTATCTAAACTTTGGGCAGTATGGTCTCTAAAGATTTCAAGAGAAGGGCCAGGATCCAGACTCTGAGAAAAAGAGTCTTTGAAGACATCTGACCTGGAAAGTTTGCCATCTCTTATGATTATTTCCTGTGTGGCTGTGAAAGTTAATGGGATGAAGCCTTCGCTGTCAGCAGAGAGAAGGATCCAGAGGGAGTCTGTAAAGCAAAATAAGCACATAGGTAATTTAGGATAGTATCTTATTCTATAAAGAAAAATACGACTACAAATGTAGTTTTCTTGAGGCAAGGGATATAGCAGTTGATGACACTGAACCTGATTATAGAAGGCTTTAACAGAGAATGGGGAACTGGAAGGACTAAGTATTACTCAGGGTCAGGGTTATATGGCAGGGAGGGGATGCTGATGACTTACATCCACCCGAAAGTTGATTACTTACGCACAGCGAAGGGACATACATTTTTACCCACGCTGGGCATTTATCACTCAGTGCTATGCAGGTGTGTGTGTGTATGCATGCGCATGTATGTGTTAGGGGTTGCCTGTGGAGTGTCCCTATCTTATCTACATGCTGTTAACCATACTATGTGAATTTGGGACAGAAATTCTAAGGAGAAACATTCTTTATTCTTTAGATTCACCCTAACCTCTAGAAATCCAAGGAGGCTGAGCCTGGACCATACAGTGGCCCAGATAATCCTGAGTGGTTTATTCCAGGGTAACCTAGGGGCCACTAGCATAACACATGTCCAGACCATCTCTGGTTCTTTTAAGTCTAGTGTGTCTCACCTTCGACCCTGTCATTTCACTTCTGAAAATCTACACTTCCCAAAAATAAAATACAAAATATTCAGAGAGATTTTTTTTTAGTGCTATTTGTAATGGTGAAAACTTGGATAGTCAAATTTTAAAGAAAATATGGCAAAGTAAAATAAATATAGTATACCTCAGAATGGAATATCATCCCCACCCATTACAAATGACAATTATAATGAGCATGTATCCAAAACAAACAAACAAAAAACATTGATGACACAATGTTAAGGGAAAAAATGAAACAAAATTTTATGTTCAGTGTGGTTGGCTGCTGTGGAAAGAATGAGGCATAAGAAAACCATGTTTACATCTAATGGAGCATGGGCATGACTCAGTCCCCTGCCATCTAAGAGTCCCTTCGTGTTCCCATGCTTGCTGCCTATAAGAATGGCAACTTCTTTAAGAAATATTCTGCTATGCTGCTATGATCTTTGCATTTCAGTGCAACAGGCATATGTAAAGTTTTTGTTATTTCCTTATTATTGCTTTGTAACTCTTTTCCAGTTATTCCATGTGCACATTTAAATTTTCCAGCTAGACTATAAGTTGTCTAAGGGCAGAATCTGTATTTTTCATGTGTTTTGACACTAGTATAGGCCAAGGCATACAGTAGGCAATTAATAATAGTTGTAAATTATCTAGTGAACCTCTGAATGGTTGGTTACACCTCATTTTCATTAGTAGTGAAAATTACAAACTAGAAGGTGGAGGGAGGGAACATTAGGTGGGGTAGATTTCTGGATTTAACCTACCATGAAGCATTTCAATAAGAGAGAGGCCAAACGTCTGCTGAACCGTGCTGAGCCTCAGTTTGCCACGGCAGAGAAGCATGGCTCTTCTTTCAACAAGAGGACCTACATAATAAGGTTTCTTCACGTATAGAAATAAAAGTTGTTAAGCAGGTTGCAGAAGCGATGGAGTTAACATTTCTTAAGAGTACAATGGGTAAATCGTTTTTTGTTTTTTGTTTTTTTTTAAATTCTTACCTCTTACCACTCTCAACTAGACTTCATTTCTAAATAAGCAGCACTTTGCTACCAAGGAAACCCTGGTGGCGCAGTGGTTAAGAGCTCAGCGGCTAATCAAAAGGTCAGCAGTTGAAATTCACCAGCTGCTCCTTGGAAACTCTATGGGGCAATTCTACTCTGTCCTATAGGGTCGCTATGAGTTGGAATCGACTCAACAGCAATGGGTTTGGTTTTTTGCTGCCAAAGGAATAAAACATAACTTCTAGTTTTCTCTTCCTGTTGCTCTGATCTTTCCCCAGCATTATGTCTTCATTTCTAGGAGCTGGCTTTCTTAAGGAATGACTAATAACATTACAAGACGGTAGCCTGAAAGATACATCCTGACCTTGAGGAACTATGACTTGGCTGTTTTAGATATAACTAAGAAAAAATGCCAAGAAAGACTGCCCTAAATGGCACAGTAACAAAGGATTTGCATTAATTGAATAAATAAACTGTGATTAAAATTCACTTAGCTTACAGAAAGTACAAATGAAAATAAATGATGTTTAAAGTTTTAAGTCAGATTAAAAATTGAGTCGTCTTTAAAAATTGTTTCAAATATCCCTAGAAAAAGAAGATATAAAAAAAATAGTTTTAATTTAAGACACATTAAGAGCTCAAAGGTATAATAATAAAATACAGAATAAAAACAATAACTTCTAATTATATAATATTTGAAACAATATCTTCAAGTAAGCATTCATGTAAGCAGTTTTACCTGACTGAAGAACAGTTTTACAAGTTAGGTATCTAGCTCATTTTGTTATTCAAATTATCACTACTCACTGTTTGACTGCTATTGACTGCTGAGAAACAGATTTTCAACTATGAATTTCAACTACTCAAAAATGTCTATTAATGAGGTTTTAAATAAAGTCAATCAATAAACTGTAAAAATCACAAGCAACTAATTCATTTATTTTAACTCTTATGAAATGTGACTTCTGAAATTAGAGGGAAAACACTTTCTTTTGATTTTTGTTTTTTACTTTTTCTCATCACAAAAGGAATAGATGCGTAATATAAAAAAGTAAAACACAGAAATTTACAATGGAGAAAGTACAATCCTCCAATATTCTACTCTTCAGAGAGAACTACTGGTTACACCTTGGCTGGGCTACCTCATTATAAACAAAAATTGAGGAAACGAAAAGTCAAGAAAATACATTATTTTAACTTCAGTTAAACTGGCATAACAGTTTATAAAGACAATGTTTATAAAGACGATGTTCTACATTCTACCTTGGTGAGTAGCGTCTGGGGTCTTAAAAGCCTGTGAGCAGCCATCTAAGATACTCCACTGGTCTTATCCCTTCGGGAGCAAGGGAGAATGAAGAGAACAGAATACAAGGGAAAGATTAGTCCGAAGGACTGATGGACCACAGCTACCAAGGCCTCCACCAGGCTGAGTCCAGTACAGCTAGATGGTGCCCAGCTACCACCACTGACTGCTCTGACAGGATCACAACAGAGGGTTCCGGACAGAGCTGGAGAAGGATGGAGAACAAAATTCTAACTCACAAAAAAAAAACACCAGATTTACTGGCCTAAAGAAGACTGGAGAAACCCCGAGAGTATGGCCCCCAGACACCTTTTTAGCTCAGTGGTGAAGTCATCTCCGAGGTTCACCATTCAGCCTGGGAGTGGACAGCCCCGTAAAACCAAATGGGACTAATGAGGTACAGCAGTCCAGGGTCAAAGGCCAGAAGGCAGAGGGGGACAAGGAAGCTGGTGATAGGGAACCCAAGGTTGAGTAAGGATAGTGTTGATGTGTTGTGAGGTTGTTAACCATTGT